CGAAGGTGCCCGTAACGCTAAGCCTAATGGAATTACATTTGCAACTCTCATGTCTCTTTTTGGTACGGCTGGTGATCTCAGGGCTGTGCGTGAATGCTTTAAGGAATATAAGTCAATCAAAAACTTCCTTCCTCACCATGATCCCGCCTTTGTATACAATGCATTCGTATACGCTCATGTGGATGCTGGCGACATTAAGGGTGCGTTAGATGTGATCGAGAATGTGATGGTAAAGGATAAGGTTGATATTTCTATCTTGCCTTACAACAAAATTGTGCGTAGAGTTTGTATCGACGGAAATATGGAGACCGCCGAATCGATCCTATCTAAGCTCGAATCCGATGTCTCTTTACCCAATCCTGATGCGAACACTTATGGTGTAATGTTGTCGGCTCATTGTCGTGCCCAAGACCTTGACAAGGCTAACAAGGTTTATCAAAATTTATTGAACCACGATTTTTCTAAGCAATATGGACATTTAGCCGATTATGCCTACGCATGTACTGGAAACAATATGCCTGATCAAGCATTCAAAGTAGCCAAGGATATGACAGCTCGTGGATTAGAATTGGATGCCAACTTGGCCCAAAAGATTGTGACGTCGTACATGGATAATGGTAGAATGGATGATGCCGTCTCCGCCCTTCAATCCGTTGTTGAACTTCATTCCAAAAACAACTTTTTGGATGCAAAATCACCTGTGGCTGATTTAGCATTTGATGTGATTCTTAAATGTAAGAATCTCAGTTCAGCGTTATCAATTCTTCGTTTGATGAACAATTATTCCATTCACCCTACACCTCTTGTATCCGATGCTTTACTGAACATGTACGAAGAGGCCAAGTCTAACACCGATCAATGGAAAAAGGTGTCAAGTGAAATCAACGATCGTACCTTCTTTACCTTGTATGATGCTGCTTTCCGCAAAGATAGTGATCCTGAACAATTTTGCAAGCTCGCTTTTGAGCTTCTCAATGATATGCGCAGTATGAATATATCTCCCTCTGCTAGTCTCTATGTCCGTGTGTTAACTCGTATGAAGAGATGTAAGAATACTGATTATGAAACTCGTTGGAAAGAAGCATTAGCTCCATACATGAATGCTATCCAAGATCAAATCAAGGCCGACAACAAAGCCGAGATGAAAGCCGAAAAGGTTGCTACTGAAGCTATTAAGGATGGCGAAACAGTTGCTTCTCGTCCCGCTCCTGCCAATATTACCACAGAGTCCGATCTGCTCTCTGGTACCGCTGTAGAGCTTTGTGTAGATGGTAAATTTGATGAAGCTCTCGAAGTTCTTACAAATAAGATTATCAAGCAAGGCAAGGTCCCCACTCCTGAAGCTGTTCGTGATATGATCCAACACTCTACCAAGATCTCTCGCTTGGATATGGCTCAAGACATCTACAAGACTGTTATTGACTCTTTCAGTGTCTTAGAAGGAAGCCGTAAGCACCGCGGTTACTCAGTTGTTTATAACGCCATGTTAGTTGCCCATGCTCGTAACGGTGATCTTGAGTCTGCGAAGGTATTTTATGACAAACTTCGTGAACGCAATTTATATCCCGATGGTGATGCTTATGGTTCCCTCTTGGCTTGTAACTCCAACTCTACCACTGATGAATCTACTGATGCCCTTGCTATTTATGAAGAAGTTAAGAAACACAATGTTCGTCCTACTGTTTATCTTTACAATGTCATCATTTCTAAATTGGCCAAATGCCGTAAGATCGAACCTGTTTTACATCTTTTTGATGAAATGAAACAAGTCGGTATTACCCCCAACTCCATTACCTATGCTTCTGTTATTTCTGCCTGTATCCGCTGTAGTTCCGAGAGTCGCGCCGCTCGTTATTTCCAAGAAATGATTTCAGCACCCAGATATCAGCCTCGAATTGGTGCTTACAACAGTATGATTCAATTCTATGTTCAAGAAAGACCTAATCGTGAGAAGGCAATCGAGTATTACAATCTTTCCAAGAAATATAACTTGAAGCCATCTCAGCATACATACAAGTTACTTATGGAAGCATATGCTAATATTCCTGCCTATGACATGTTGACTGCCCATAAGTTATTAACCGAAATGAGCAAGCGTCATGGTCTTCGCCCTACTGCTAGTCATTATGCTACTTTAATTCGCTCTTATGGTTGTCTTCACCGCGATGTACAATCTGCATTAGCTGTTTACAAGGAAATGAAGAAGTCTGGAATCAAGGCCGATGAAACTGTTTATCAAGCCATGTTGAATACCTATATTGATAACAATGATATTAAAAATGCTGAAGAGCTCTATCAAGATATGATTAAGGAAGGAGTTAAATCTTCTCCTTACATCGAAAATTTGTTTATTGCTGGTTATGGTAATCAAGGACAATTGGATAAAGCCGAAAGTGTATTCAAAAAGATGAGCGACGATAATTTAGTCAGAGAACCAAGCACTTATGAAGCAATGGCTAAAGCTTATATCGAGAATGATCAAAAGGAAAACGCCGGAAAAATTGTAGAACAAATGCGTGCCCGTGACTTCCCACCAAAGGTCGTCGATGGTGTCGTTCATATGATTAACTCTACAAATTAGATTTTATTCTATACTTCTCTTGTCATATAACCCCATCCTCCCTTCCTCATTCTTATTAATTACTATTATTATTTGTACATTCCTGTTGTAAAATTATTAAACTCTTTTATCATTTATTTTGCTCTTTTGTTTTTTATTTGTTTTTTTTTTGAGGTACTTTTAAATAAATAAGCATCCAATCTTAAACATCAATCATACTATCGCGGATGCACTAACATCATCGGTGCTGTGTGTATGAAACAGATCGATCAAGGTTTTAATATCCAAATTTGGTCAAATTGTCAATATTCAAATCTTTTTTTTCAACGATTTTCTTCAACTTAATTTACGAAGTAAATCATTTTGACATGGGATTTTTTTTTTTTTTTTTTTTTTACTTTCAACCTGAATGTGTCACTATAATTGTCATTTTTACGGAGCTAACTTACAATATAAACGTCAACGAATCTCTAATATTTGGATTATAATTTGGGTCTTGTAATATACTTTATCAGCTGTATAATTTATATCAATATAAGTAAATGAACCATCTATATCAATAGCTGTTCTATTCTCTCTCTGGGTAGCTAGTCCATTGAGAGAACTATAAATATTAAGTTTCTCTTACTTATAATTCTTTATTTGATCTGAGAAGATTCTCTTCTCGATCGGTGACATCGTAACTCAGTGGTATAGCATTATGTATCCAACTGTAACCCGTATATCATATTTAGGCCAATCATGCAATCTTTAATATAGAAGTATGTGATCATAGTAGGAGAAGTTATATAGCAGTATACAAGCGTATGCTGATAGGCAACATCAAAGGTTGTTTTAATTTCATAGTTTATTTATTTAAACGATTTGCTTAATTATTCTCAAGTGAATCGTACCCAAATACGACATTCTCAAAAGGAAGCGGTCTTCTTTTAATGGAAGTTTTCTTTCCTTTGTTCCTTCCCTGCTCCTCATTCACCTGCCGTCTTTCTGTTGCTACGGGTGGTTTTCTCTTCGGGTCTCTCCCTTTTTGCTTGACCTCACGCTTTAAATACTTCTTTTTACCAGTAATAAAGATGTTAGCCATTTCCGCACCAGCTCTTTGTCTTCCAATATAGCTCAAGTGCCGGAAAGCGGTGAGCCGATCGTCATAAAAAGCAAGAATTTAATGGAAAGAGTATCAAGAACTGAGCGAACATAAAGACTATATGTCACTGGATTTGCTGTCTTGGAACTGGTCATACTTTGTTCTGCTTCAAGAAAGCGGGCATCATTGTTTTTTCAACTCCAATATCTGATTATTCAATTTTAAAACCCTGCGCGAGCATAATATCCAGCCGTTGAATACTTTCTTATTTGATGTGGAATATTACCATGACCATCAGAAGAAGTAAAGATATTTGTCATCCCAGAATCAACACCTCATAGATGGAAGTTATTCTCGAGTTCTTCAGGGGTGAAATCCGATAGCTCAAGATCTGGAAGACCAGCCGTTGGAGGAATTGATCGAGTTATGACGAAGTCGATTCTGTAACCGTCTATGCGGACCATGTTCATGAACATAGGTCTTTCATGACTAAAAAGAGAAGTTAGTACAACTTATAACAAGACAATGCCATGTATTCACTTACTAATTAAAATCAACCCTAATAGAATCGAAATCAAATATTTGACTAAAAGCATGAGTCGTTCTTTCTGGTGTATCACAAGACTGTCTCGCCATAGTAACAACTACTCTAATGTACATAAGGAACATATAAGAATCACCGACTTAACAAACATGAACAGATAATATATATACAAGAGCAAATTAAAAGATTATCTTATATTTGATTGAAATTATTGTCTCTTAGACATCGGATATCACACTTTCGTTTCTGTCGGGTGAATCGCCTTCATCAAATAGTCCTGTCGCACTTCCAGTTTCCCTCTGGACCTTGAGTAACAGCATTTTCAGATGTGCTGTGTCTATTTTGACGTAGACTCGGTCTGCATCTCATTAAAAGCAGCTTCTTGATTATTGCCGTAATTTTATAAGTAACGTAGGATGGTATACTTTTGTAGAAATATTAATTTTTTATGGTAAGGGATTCTTCTTCACTTGTGGCATCATCCCGTTTTCTCTTTTCCATTTAAAAAATAACCATGTTAAAAAAACAAAATTCAACTCTAATATTGGTTATTCATGTGCCTGCTACAATAGGATCGTAATTCTTATTCTTAGGACACAAACGACTCCTGGCATCTTTATGACCTGGCTATCCACAACGTTTGCAACGATTCTTTATAATATAAAATTATAAGAAAAAAAAAATTGGAATAGACAATGAACTTCACAATATACCTTCTGCTTCCAGTACTGCAGCGACTATTGCTATTTCCGTTGCTGTCACTCCCCCTTCCAGACGTTTCCGTTTTTCCCTTTTCTTTGTTTCAATAATATTCAATTTAACGAGTCTTTGTCTGTGTGAAGGCATCTTAGGTAAAAAGCATGGAGGGAAAGAAAAGAGAAAATAGGGTGGAGGTGTTCAACAAAAAGATAAATAAGAAATAAAAAAGGAATTGGAATTAATTTGATGGACTCTCTTTTATATAGTTTTGTTTTCATTGATTAATCAATTAGGCAGATCCCTCCTGTTTTTTTTTTTATTTTTGTACAAAACAATTTATCATAATTTTCATTATACTTTCTTTGTCTCAAATAAAAGACAAAACTGAATTGTGACACGATTTAAGCCATTTTTATTTTGGCGAAAACGTTTCCACCCAATATAAAAAAATTATCTCTCCCGAAATACTCCACAGCAGGTGTGTAGTAAAAAGTCCGAAGCGGAGGACAGCAAAAAGCAAGCCGGAAACAAAGCGTGTTTAGCTTGTCAATATTTGGCCTGAGATGATAAATTTTAGCCATCTGACGAAAAAAAGGAAAGCTCTAATCACAAAACATAATCTCTATAAGTATAAATTGTGCTATTAAATGTTTCCACGGGCATGCACCGGCATTTGTGGTACAAGCTTAAAAAAGCATATGTTTTTTTACGATGGTTTTAAATCATATCTACTTTCCACATGTTACTATCTTTCAATCGAAACCATAGTTGTTTATAAAGAAGCCCATTCTCTATAAATGGCTAGTTTTCCTAATAAGGTTTATGAAAATTGGAGATTTTTTTTTTAAGTAATAATCTCCTGAGGTTAATAACCGAGGAGCACTTTTTAAATGGTAGCCAAAATAATATCTTTTGGTTTCAGGGAACTGTAGAATCAATCTAGAGATTGATAGTGATTTTAATAAAAAATAAATAAAATGTTTTTTTCATACATAATTTGTTAAAAGAGAGAAAAATGTGATTTAAAAAGAAGTGTGTGCGTGTATGTATAATAAAAGAGCGAAAGAACGAAAGAAAATTTTGCATGCATTTGAGTTGTATATAAGTAAAATAGTAATAGTGATATGTATGTAGTAATGGTATTTGAAGGCTGGTTATATTTGTTGATGCTCGGAACTACTAAAAGAAGATTTCAGGATCGGGTAGCGGACGGATCACTGTTTAAATGTAAATGTTGTAAGACTTCACTATCCTCATAAACAACTTTGTGGTCGTGAAAGTTGTCTTGATAGAATGTTATCACTGCAGATTGACTGTTAAAAATTGAAGCGCAGGGTCAGATGATATAATTAGCTCAACATCAATGAATATAAGCTTACCTGTCATTGACAATTTCTTTCGTTGATGGACACGCTATAATAAAAAATGGAAGTGAAATTCTACTGCTACTATCATTCTCTTCTTTTTGTTGATTTCTCCAAACAAGATTACGGATTTGTAGATGCTAGATTATCTCTTTTAAGTATGATGCAAACACTCTTCGCAGTATGCTTTTACTTACTTACTTTTGAAAGTTTACTATTTACACCTTCTCGTAATGAGACTAGAGAGCCTGTCAGCTCCCTTTGACGTAACTAATTAAAACAATGTTAGTAAAGTATATCCATATTTATAAATACATTTTTAAAATTACTTCTTCTTCTTCAATTTGCTTCAACAATAACTGTCTGGACGTTTGATTTTCTTGTTCAGTTGCCATTACGTTCTCGTCGCTATTACTTTGTTTATAACATTCAGGTATTCCAAGCCATTTTATGACCTTTTTGTCTTTTGCAATAATGTTCATCGCCATCAATACATTGAGGGCATCATACACACGTCTTCGGATATTTTTCTGATCATAAGTATGTTTCTGTATTATATAATTAGTATTTGTTATTTTTTTCACATGTGTATTATGTTTCTTACCTCATTTTTAACTGTATTTTGTATATCAAAAGCTAATTCATCAGCCACCTACAAAAAAAATATGAGTGAGTCATTGTATTTTTTTTTTTTTTTTTTTTTTTTTTTTTACAATTATCTGGTTCTAACTGTACTTACCTCATTGTATGTTGTAATACCTTTCTCAGCAACCTTATCACAGACTTGTTTACTAAAATGCCGCAAGCCTTTTGTTGCACGTGGAGAATCAATAGTAATAGAAGTAACAACGGAAGAAGATGATTGACAGGCCTGTTGTTGTACACAATCTACGTTATTACTTATAGTTTCAAAACTCTGACGTTGCTTTTTAATGACGGGATGTTGCTGATTATATATAATGTCAATGTGATCTTGCCTAGGTCTTCCTCTTTTTAAAGATTGTTGAAGTTGAATAGTTGGATGGTAACTATCAATAAAATGAGATTGATAGTTGCATCTACTCTCCTCTTCATCCAACTGTCTTAATTCAGGATCTGAATTAAGCAAAGATGCGATAGACCCTTTTCTACGAACATTTAACATTTTCTGCTGTTGAACTAAATCATCTTCAATATCATCTTCATCAACAGGATTTGGAGAAGAAGCGATAGAGGAGATAGGAGAAGCAGAAGAATTACAGTAGTAACTGTCAAATGGCGGAGAAGGACTGGCTGTTGGTGTGGTCATGATAAAGTTCTGAATGGGTGGCAATTGATATTTGCTGTTGTTGTTATTATCGGCGACAGGATTAAACAAGAATGGTCTCAACTCTGCAACATCACGACGTCGATTAATATTACTCGTGTAACGCGTGTCGGAAAGCAAACCGTTGCGGTCACCACTACTACCAATACAAGTTATGTATGGCGGAAGGGCTCGGTCCACGGTACAAGTTGGCATCTTTTTATCATTGCTATGATAGTGATGGGATATAGGTGGTGATGGTAGCGATGATGTTGTATGACCATTGTTTGTACTGACTGAACTAAATGCTGATAATGATGAAGTCATATTTTATAGGACTGAAAAAAATAAAAAGGTGAATCAGCTGTTTTTTATATAAATCAGTATCTTTAACTTACACTGGTTTGTTAAAAGGATCGTGGTTAAAAAAAGGATAGTTTAAAAGGAAGGTAAGGGACTCGTTAAAGAGCGGAAAAAAGGTTAATGGAAACTGGTTGTAGACAAAAAAAAAATGAAGAGGAAAAAAGAGTTAAGTATAAAAAAGAAAATGGTGAAAGAAAAAAAAACAGGAAATATATATAAAATATTAAGGTTGTATGCAATCAATAAATAATAAACAATAAATAAGAGACTTGTTATAAGTAAAGACGGTCCCCTTTCTTTCTAAAATAGAAGTGTTTCCCTTCTGTCGTCTAGCGATTTTATTTTATTTGGAAACAAGGATAGATTCATAAACAAAAAAGTGAAATAAAAGCTTATTGACAAACTTTTTTTTTTTTCGCGCCCTCAAATTAAAAAAGGGGCAAATGTTTTCTGACATCCGTTTTTGAGCATTTATAGTGGATATTAACCCGATTGGTGTTGTACGTCTGTTACTAGCTGGATCATTTATTTCACGCAAAGGCCCTCTATGTTTACCTTTGAGAGATAAAAAAGAAGTGTCCTATAACTTCCGAAAGTAAGAAAAAAAAAAAGGGATAAACAAAATACAAACAATCTAACACGGGGTCTTAACAATATAGTTTTAAATGCCCTTATTGGTTATTAAAACACACATGTATGTTAGTACAATATAATACATAACGGTAGCTTATGATAGCATGTACATGACTTTTTTTTTTCAGTGAGTGATATGAAATTTGTCGGAGTTAAGTCAGTGCACTCTATTTTTTTAATCACAAGCTGCATGCAGTTGTTTGATACTTCGTACTTTAGCCGGCGGTCGAAAAGAAGCTTTAGAAGTAATCCCATGTAACATAAAAAAAGCCGAGGCGTGATAGACATGTACACAGACCTTTTTTTAATTTATAAAGCTCATGATAACACTATGTTACCCCCTTTTTTTGACATCATGTATATATATTTAAATGATATATATATTGTAGTTTTATTTATAAATAATACGAAAAAGAGAGAGAGAAAAAGAGGGAGGGAGGGAGGGAGAAACAAAAATGCATACATGACGAGAGGTGTGATTATTTTAAAGATAAAGTAGGGATTTCCTGTTGTAATTGCGACGAAACTTTTTTATGTTGATCATCATTTGAAGGCCAAAGTTGAGGATTGATTGGTAAGATAGGGCTACGCATTTCGTTTACAATTTCACCGCTTGCTCCTAATAATGCACCGTTTCCGTTACTTAAATCATGCTTTGATACCTTCTTTTTAAGTGGCTTTGGGCGATGGGTATCGACAGCTTCAATATCAACTTTAAATCTCTTTTCATCACATCCATATGCTTTTGGTGTCAACTCAATCACAGTATGTAAAGGAATCTTGATATAGGGTAAATCTTCTTGATTGTAGTTCATAAAGTAAGCATAAATACATCTTAAAATGGCTTGATGACCGATGATAAGAATATTTCCCTGACGCTCAAGATCCATGATTACCGGTTCAAGTCTAAGAACTACATCTCTATAGGACTACCCAATGAAATTAATTTCCATTTACAAAAGCTACATTTTTTTTTATCTTACCTCACCACCTCTATAACGATAGTTAAATTTGTCCTCGTCACGGTTAGCATAATCTTCAGGGTATTTTTCCTGTTTACAAACATATCAGTATGATGAGCCCTTTTTTTTTTTTTTTTTTATTTTTTTATACCTCGATTTCTTCATATGTCATACCATCACACATACCAGCGTCCAATTCATCCAAAGCCTTTCTGTTCATTTTTGGATAGTTTAACAGGCCACTTGTCTGTATAGTTCTTTTCATAGTTGAAGTCCAAACAAATAATTCCTTGTCACCCAAATTTTGCTTGATTAAATCAGGTAATTTATTGGCATAGAGTAAACCCCTTGGCGATAAAGCAGAATCACCGCCAATTTTACCCTGGACATTAAACATTGATTCACCATGTCTACTCATATATATTTTTCTGGGTGCAATATGTAAATTCATCAGATAATACACAATACGAGACTCCAGATAACCACGGATCATATTAATAATGACTTGACTTCCGACATTGATCAGCTTGATGTAGGTGTAGTCCTGTTCTGTTACAGTTTCATATTGGTCTTTGTAATGATTGATTCTTGCCTTGAAATCATTTACAGCTTCCTCTGGATCAATGTTTGCATAATCAGGTGAAGTTAATTTAACTTCCTTGATGTTATCCAAAATAATAGATTCGTCTTGACAAATGGATTCGATAAAAAACACCTGGATATTCTCTTTCGTTAACTTTTCGTGTAACCATTGTCTTCTTTGTTTTGTGCTGTTTGTTGCATCATATAGAGCAACAATGCCTTGATCTTCATTGAACCAACGAATCATATCTTCTAGAGCTGCACTCGCCGCCTCCTTTCTTTGTTGAATACCAACAGGGTTACTTGGATCAAAAAATGTATGTTCTTGCTTTGCGCCATATAGTTTACGGCGGTAATTACCAACATTGAATACCTTGGTATTTATGCCTAACCATGTAAGATATCTACATACTAAATGCACGACATTTTTAATATATTACTGAAATTTTTCTGTTTTGATTATACCTTTTTGTGATATATAAGTTTTTCCTCTTGCAGGCAATCCAACCATCTATTTATAATTAATTTAAATATAAGCGTGAGGGCTAGACATTTATACTTACAACACAGGCTATACGGAGATCTAACAAGTAAAATAAAAATACATTAGAATGACCAACTCAACAAGTTAACTGCTTTTTCTTTTTCTTTTTTCTCTCTTACTGGCAGTAGTCATTATTATTTAAAATGTTTGTGATATTTAAAATTAGGTGAAAAAGAGAAACAGTATTTAGAAGCAGAAGAAAGATAGAAGCTTATGAGCTGACTATTAATAAAACGTAAATAAATACTCGCTTCGACAGTCATTCATCACCCAATCAAAGTGACTATTGAGAAAAAGAGTGTTACACGTCGATTTAGTAGTGGCATATCCAAGCATAAATTATGACCAGTTAAAAAGACTAGACTGTTTTTTAAAAAAATCCCTTTAGTTCCATTGCATTGACCCATGTTTAATTAATATATAACAGCTCACATTATGTATTTTGTTCGTATCAAACAGATATAATTTCATGAATCCCTATAGCCACGATGGTGCGGGGTAATGTTACACAGAAGTTTGTCTTGACTTTGATTTTTCGGAAATACTCGTGAAAGTAATATAAATTCATCATACCACATAAGAAGTGTACATGTGATATACGGAGAGGCTGAAAAAAAGTTGTGTCCAGGCCTATCTTTTATATATGTATGTCGTGGGAAATTACCAGCCTAGGCTCTCCTACCCTACCTCCCAGTAATTCCTTTTTTTTTACCAATTCGTTCTCCGGGCCGGTTTGACATTTGTAATAGGCATTTACACTTACGCAGTCATTTACAGTGCAGACAGCCAGATTTAATGTGTGTGGATTCTGAAAGGATGAATATACTCTTTCTTCCTTTGTCACCAGGTGCAAACATTTGCCGGATATCGCAATGTGCTGATTTAAGATTGTCGTACAAGAATACCCGATTAGAGTTCCCAGTAGCTCTGGACATTTAATGAAACAGCATAAATCCAATTGAGTATTTATGTTGGTCCACTATAAAAAAATATCAAGTGATGACTAATTTAAACCGTAAATCAAGCAGAACTTGAATTCTTCTGGTATAACGTATACAGAATACTACTTCACACGGGGAGATTCGTTAACCTTGTTTATTCTTACCGAGGTAAGCAACTTTCTATTTTATCGTTTCTTTTTCCTACTGATATTATAAACTTTACTGCTAGGTCCTTATTAAATACTCTCCCTGATTAACAATTAGGGGTAAACTTTGCAAGGTTGAACTGTGAGTTTAAAATACATGCTATAATGAAACTGAATTACCTGAATTCAAAATCAGTTGAATACGCTATCAGTGATAATTATCGGTGTATTCCATATAATTGCTTAGGGAACAAGCATACAAACTATTCAAAATAGACTGTCTGCAAGTTACATTATTTCTTGGTCGGTGGTTTTAATCTTAGAACAATACTGTCCTGTCTTGGCTGAAATTGGTTTCAAATATTTCAACAATCATCAAATATTAGGCTGGATCGATATAACCATTAACCGTGTAAAAAAAGGGATCGAAACTTGTGTAAGGAGGCGCATTTCCTGATGTGTAATATAGATTTATGAACCCTGACATTTATAAACGGGAAAAACCTATCGGGATGACGCAGAACACAGGTCGGAATATGAACGAATGACGAAACTCGCTTTCAAAACCGATGGTTTTTGGGATCATATTATCGCGCTGCCATTCAACAAAAAAAAAATTAGTGCTTTGGTGCAGAAAGCTTCTAAATTATCGCTTACATGTTAGTGAAGTATTCAACGTTTAAGATCTGAAAAGTTATCATTTCAACTTCGTACTTTGCGTATGATTGGAGTAGACAAAAAAAAAACTATATGTTCCCAATATCGGCAGCGTTAGATCAATGCTGGTATTGGCCAATACTTAAATTTAAACGATAACATGAAAGTTTTTAATCCCGTATAAGTCCACAACATATACTATAGCAAAAAAAGGCCATATAAATGATAAATATGGATTAGCTGCTAAAAACCAATAAGGGCTATATACTTAGTTACGGGACAGTTCAATGAATATATAAACGAATGATTTGCTTTATTTACAAAATATATTAACGGTTTAGCAAGCTTGGAATAGCAATCACAGATAAAACAACGGCAAATATACCTAGTGAAGTGAATACAAAAAAGGCGAAAAATATCAATCTTCCATCGTAGATAGTGTTACCCCACGATCGTACGTAATATTTAAAGCGTTTACGTAGTGGTAATTTGGAAATGTCAGACCATGTATCACTTTGGTCGTCAACATATTGACGTTCTTGTTGCTGGCGGTATATCAGTTCATCGTGCTCAGATATATATGGTTGGTTTTTGTAATGAAGCCTTGCAGACTGTAAGTAAGTTGGTGGAGGTAGAGTCTGTATAATACAGTCATAATTGGGTGGCAATGAATTGATGTAATATTCTTCTGTTTGGGTTTTTTTGTCTTCCATCGTTCGCATGAAACTTTTAGTGGTGAAAGAAAGGCTTTAAAAAATAATGATATGCCTATTTGAATAATTGATCGAAGGGAAAAAACAAATTTGTTTGGATTAAAAACTAATATCAAATAAACATCTTTTATTTCCCTCCACACAAAGTCTGTAGTTTATTGTCTTCGCATCAGTCGGTATTGTAAACGGGTTAGAGTCATGAGTAGCTTTTTTGTATGGATTACACGGAGCTTGTAAAGAAAGTTTGACAAGTTGACACTTTCGTGACTATTATTTTTGCGAGGTAAGCCACCTTTTGTAATTTTCATTTCTTTAAAAAAAAATACCTAATTTTTTCATTTTTACACTTAATACAACAATGGGAAAGAGAAAGAGCACCGAGGAACATAGCACTCCCCGCCATGTTAAAGTCAATACAGTTGAGAAGGAGTCTGATGTCGAAACACCTTATTTAGGTAAGACTTTTTTTCACTCCATTATTATTTCTTTAATCCAACACAAACCTTGTTAGCTACTTTCCCTGGTACCAAACCCACTTCAGAAATGATTTTTACAGCATACAAAAGTGGTGAAGCCAACCCTTCAGCTAGAAAGGCAGAACAACGTACTATCTCGGGCGAAACTGACAAAGTTATTTTCAACGCTTCCAACTTTGGTCCTAATGCTGTTCGTAACAACCAGTGCAAGTAAGTTAAAACAATGAACCCTTTATGCCAACGAAATAGTAACCGGGCAACAGATATATTGTCGGTGTTTATTCCAAGAAGAACAATACTTTGGACATTACCAATGCACCCATTATGAAAATGGCACGTTCAGTAAAGGCTTTGGACGCAGACTACGTTGGTAGCAGTACAGCCGCCCGAGGCAATATCGCTCGTACTGCACTTGGTTTAGCTTTCGGTACAGCTAAGGCCAAACAACAATTAAAGAGTGACGAACGTAATTTGGTTCAAGGTTCCGATTTAATGGAAGAAATGGACACTTTACATAGCGAAATCAGTAGGGCAACAGTCAACATACCAAAGAAGGAAGAAATGAAGGAATCGATGGAATCAGATTTACCTGTTCCTAAACACAACATTGAAGCTGAATCCCCTGATGATGTTTATGATATTGCATCTATTGTTACAGATGACGAGCTCAATTCCTTGCCATGCAAGGAGCTTTTGAAGGAGACCTCTTTGGAAGGTGTCAAGAGTCACTTGGCTTATCATGACTCCAAATTTGTTAATGATCGACTCATGGCTATCATTGGTTCATCCGGAAAGAAAGACCGTAACAGAGTTCGTAAACTTATGTATATCAACTTACTAATGGGATATTATCTTCGTGTACGTCCCGGAGATTTAAGAAACCGTAGAAAGGTTGAAGCAGCATTAAAGACACCTTCAAGTTTGATCCTCGACGGACTTTCAGAAAGATATACAGAATCTGACCAGTAAGTAATTATACTGATACTCCAGGTATACATGTTACTAACTATCCAATAGTCGTACACCTATTATGGCTGATAAGATTCTTTTGTACATGTTCACTCTTATTCTCTCAATTTCAGGTTATAGTGTACTCATTGATGATCTCGGCAAGGATCTTTTAATTAAACCTGTAAAGCTTGCAGCATTATTTAAAAGCTTAGGTTGTAAGGTTGATAAGGCAAGTGCAGAAGAATGTCGCGAAGTTGGTAATAAACAGGCAAAGAAGGCTACTTTGGTGATTCCCTTAAAGTTCCCTGAAGTCAGAACTGGTATTAGTCGTCGTTAGACAAATTTAAAAAATCATTAAAAAAATCATGAATATTATTGCATAATTGTGTATGGTCGTACGATAGGACTTTTGCAGGATGGATACTTGATTTAATACTTGTCATTTTCATTCTTTTATTTCTGACTTTATCCGCCAGTGTTCTGTTTTGACACTTGAATGCAGACAGTAGTGTTTGTAATCTTTACCTTTTTTGGATGAAATGCAAACAAACAATTTGTCGGGACCGATTCTCAATTATAGCAACTGACCTTAGTTTGGCTGTGAGATAGAAAGAATTAAATGTCTAAAACTATGGTTCGCGTCTTAGTTGTCAATATGTCGAGTGATACACTATATTACTTGGCATCACGAAACACTGTACTTGAGCACTAAAAACAACGATGATAGAAAAGATTGCCATCATATCATCGTAATTCGCCCTTATTACAATAAAACAATCCAAAACACTACACCACAACGACTATTTTGTGGATCAAGTACCTGTAGATATATAAACCGTATCTTTTTAAACAAAAGGATTTCGAAATGAAAAAATTAGTGTCTTACTATAAAGTATATTTTGAGAATGATACCCATGACCCTGTTGAGTACGAAGTTGTAGAATATATCTTAAAACCAGAGCTCAAAAGCAATAATGATGGTATTAAGCAAATTTATTTCATATTATTTTTAAAGAAAAAAATATATATACCACCCCTCTATTTAAAAGTCTGTGAAAATTAGTTCACATTACGAATAAGGATCGTTTTAATATATTTAACCGGCGTCCAGTTTGTGGTAGACAAAGTTGGTCTGCCAAATAATAAAGTTATCAAAATGAGCACAACATAGGCTATACTCCATAGTAATAACTGAGTTTTTGTTTCAAAAAGTAAAGGAGTTGAAAAGAAAGCTATAAGTGGCACTTCTTAGACCATACTAAACTAGTATTGCTAAAAGATGTGACAATGCAGTTTTGAAAAACTGTGTGACACAATTAAGAATATCTCTTTTATGAGTGAATTCAGCGAAGAATACGAATTCCTTCAAAGCTGGACTAAATTTGATGGAGAGCAAAGAGAAGTGTTGGTAAGTTACTTTTCGTTTGATTATTACAGCGTACATGCTTTTATGTACATTCATCAACTCACCCCAGTAATGTTCTATTCATGGAATACACGGTCTTTGGGTTGAAGGTGGCTGCAAAACCGTAATAAGGAACCAGGTTTGGACTTTTGCTGCCTATTATCTATAGAGAGTACAAGCTATGAGCTGTCTGAAAACCTGTTTCCAAGATTTCCAACTGTTGAAAGTTTTTCATCATAGGGACAGTATCATCAGCTTTCGGTGAAGTCTTTTAAATAAAAAACAAAACCTACTAGTCCGAAGCATTCCAGACACATGAGCGAACCTGTTTCCAAGATTTCCAACTGTTGAAAGTCTTCCATCATAGGGACAGTATCATCAGCTTTCGGTAAAGTCTTTTAAATAAAAAACAAAACCTACTAGTCCGAAGCATCTCCCATGCTGCTTAGTAGCGTGAGCAAACTTTGAAAAACGCGCTTGAAGATAATCAATAAATGGTCAAGTCCTATAATGTTAAAGATAAAGAAGTTTAGGTAAGTTACTTTTCGTTTGATTATTACAGTGTACATGCAAATTGATTACTTTTATGTACATTCATCAACTCACCCCAGTAATGTTCTATTCCTGGAATACACGGTCTTTGGGTTGAAGGTGGCTGCAAAACCGTAATAAGGAACCAGGTTTAAACTTTTGCTGCCTATTATCTACAGAGAGTACAAGCTATGAGCTGTCTGAAAACCTGTTTCCAAGATTTCCAACTGTTGAAAGTTTTTCATCATAGGGACAGTATCATCAGCTTTCGGTAAAGTCTTTTAAATAAAAAACAAAACCTACTAGTCCGAAGCATTCCAGACACATGAGTGAACCTGTTTCCAAGATTTCAAACTGTTGAAAGTTTTCCATCATAGGGACAGTATCATCAGCTTTCGGTAAAGTCTTTTAAATAAAAAACAAAACCTACTAGTCCGAAGCATCTCCCATGCTGCTTAGTAGCGTGAGCAAACTTTGAAGAACGCGCTTAAAGATAATCAATAAATGGTCCAGTCCTATAATGTTAAACATAGAGAAGTTTAGGTAAGTTACTTTTCGTTTGATTATTACAGCGTACATGCAAAATGATTACTTTTATGTACATTCATCAACTCACTCCAGTAATGTTCGATTCATGGAATACACGGTCTTTGGGTTAAAGGTGGCTGCAAAACCGTAATAAGGAACCAGGTTTAAACTTTTGCTGTCTATTATCTACAGTAGTTGACGGTCCATATCCTACCAATACAGACAGTTAAAGAAGGTGGTTAGAGAATACTAAAAGCCACTTGCTGCATGAAATTGAAACTTATTGATCAAATACTTTCGTGTGTCCATAGCAATTGACCAATCATATTTAAGAAGCGTGATTTCCACGTGACTTTATGACGTCATCAATATTTTATGGTATTACATTATATAATATATACAAACTTAATTAAATATATGAGGGGCTATGGCCCAATGGATAAGGCGTCTGACTACGAATCAGGAGATTCCAGGTTCGACCCCTGGTAGCCTCATATATATTTTTTGTCGTATCCACTTAAAAAGTGCGTGTAGACCTACCGGCTTACATAAGTTATTTTTTGAAAGCTGAATTTAGTATTTTATGGGTAACTTTATACAGGTGTTTGAGTGTCTTACTACATGATAACCAGCCAAGAAAGTTATACAATCTGCCATGAGTTCCTCTCGGCAAAGATAGAGTGTAACACCAATTTAAGACAGCTTCAACTATCACTACCTTTTAATAATATTGTCGCCCATCATCTTTCATTGATAGACAGCCAGAAAACTCAAATAATGAAAATGGAACATGTCAATGAAAAGCTAATGCAAAACCATAACGCTTAATACAAGCTGGATCTCTCGGTATACACCGTCACGAATCTTGTCAAATGTGTTATTTTAATTGTTCTAAAACACACAAAGAAGGCTTTTGATATATCTGTTGTTACTGGAGTTAAAAATCTGAAGCTTGGGTTGTTTCCTATAGGGATAAACATTCGTTATGGATCTCACAAGCTTGATAAGTAGAATAATCAATGTATCGAAAATTAAGTTATCAGAAAGACTGGACCAAATGCCACTTTTCCAAACAGTTTATAGAGGGTTATATCATAACTGCCATCAAGAAAGAATCCGCTTCGATCTGTAGTTGCGGTAGTTTAAAGCGCCCAGCCTTGAATCTACTTTAAACTGGCTATTGGGTGAAAGTTACTTCCTCTATTGAGCTGCAAAAATATTGAATAAACCATTTTTATCATTTCATTAATCGTGAGCACCTTTACTAGCTAAAAGATATTAAAAATGTACGATAATAAAAAAGTTAAATGCTTGAATTGAGTGGTGAAGATGTTTCTATTAAGCACTTGCAACTTCATCCTTACGTTGTCGAAGAAAGAATCGTATTATTTTGTGAATCGAGGTTAAAATGCTGGGCCGTTTGTTTCTCCAAAATTTCCAGAATAATTTAGTAAAAATACTTAGTAATTTAGGCATTAAATAATTGATATTCATATGTCTTACCATGCGACAAATTATAGGTTAATTGTTTGCTTATCTACTTTTATGTTGTTTGCGGAAAGTTTGATGGGCCCTACAAAGATTAATATAACTTTTGGCAAAGAATTTCTGATTGATTAGATTTAAATCTTAAACTTTAGACGAAAAAGAAAGTATGTAACCAACACACATGCTAAGAGCAACATAAGAGCAACATACACTTGCATGTGCAAAAAGTAAACGCAATATAATAAGACTAATTTTGGTCAAATTGATGCAAGATGATGATATTACTATTCATTCCTCTGAGTGGGATGGAAAAAATACAAAAATAATTCATCTCGGAATTATCTGTAAACAAGAATAAACCGTTACACTCATGGATGCCTTATTTTTAAACTTTAAAATACAATTAAATAAATAAGAACTCCTTTCTTTCTCTCTTTCTCTTTTCTTTCTCTTTAATTTTTTTCTTCGTTTTTTTTTTTTTTTTTTTTTTTGCCGATTCATATGTATATCAATAAATACAAATCAGCCGGTGCATACAGTTTGTGTATAGGTGTAGTGTTTGGAACAGCAGCTTCTTATTTTGGGTAACGTACAAATTCGAGATAAATACAAGGGTATTAATAGACAAGAGTAGCAAATATAATAGGAAAGCATATGTAAATCTTATGTCGAAGTACATTACAGTATCAGCAGTATCAATTGCAGCATTATTGAGTAAGTTTTTCTCTTTTTCTGGAATTCTTTATCTAATTTAATAAATGTAGGTCTTCAAGGGTTCATGGTGCCAACAACACAATCAAAACAATCGCCTTTACAACATTTAAGAGTACTTAACTATCAATCTCACTCTATATCAGCTATACCGACCACCAAACCATCAATGAATATTCACAGCCGATATGTATAGGTCAACAAGGCTTTTTTGTTTATATTTACTTTTTCCAAAAGAAGTGTTACACTCAGCTCGCGTTTCAACTTTAATTTTACATTCACACACCCTCATCTATATTTATTTGTAATCCCCTTTTGATTTTTTTTTTCTTCGCGCCCCCCTTTTTTTTTTATAACTTATATTCCCTTCAAAATTCCAATGAAATTCTCTGGAGAGCTATTCACCTATGACGAGGAGAAACGCTTGACTGCATTTGAAACTGGCCCAATCCACTCAACCGAGACAATAGTGTTTATTGGTGGACTCAATGATGGATTCAACGCTGTTCCTTACCTGTTACCGTTGGTACAGAAAGTATCTTCTTTGAATTGGTCTTTGGTACAAGTTCAATTATCCTCAAGTTTTGGTGGATACGGAACAACGAATTTACAAAGGGATACAGAGGAATTAGACTCTCTTGTCACTTTTTTAAGGGACAAAAGAGGGAAATCCAAGATTGTTTTCCTTGGTCATTCGACAGGTAGTCAAGATTGTTATTGGCATAATAAAAATGGTAAATCAAGTATTGCCGGTTATATTTTACAAGCCCCTGTATCCGACCGGGAATACTTTAACGCTAGTTCCCCTGAAATACATAAGTACTTGGATTTGTCTATCAATTTAAGAAATGAAGGAAAAGGAAATGAATTGTTGCCTAAAGATGCTTTCTGGAATCTTATTTCCGCTGATCGCTTCTTTTCACTTTGTGCCAAAGGGTAAGCCCGCTCAGACATTTACTTTGTTTCATACTCATGCTTTGCTTATAGTGGTGACGATGATGTGTTTTCAACAGATTTAACTGTTGGTGAAATCCAAAGTCTGTATGAAGGCGTTAATAAACCAATCTGTTGGGTCTATTCGGATCAGGATGAATATTATGCTTCAGCTCAAGATAAACACGAAGTCATGAATAGATTCAAATCTATCTGCCCAGCCATCAAAGTAACTGCTATTGTACCTCATGGTGACCATTCAATAACCAGAGAAGATTCGCAAGAGTATTTTTGCAACATTGTTGAAGATTTTTTGAAAACCTTGTGAAATAAAAGAATTTCCTTAAGAGATTACTGTGACTTTTTTAATGCGTCATTTTCTTCCTTCCTTTTCTTCACAGTAAAATAAAAATGGTATGCAAGAAATGCGAAAAAAAGCTGACTACTTTGGCAGCACCAGACAAATGGAAAGACGGCTCTAAGAATGTATTAGGTGGGAATCTAATGTCCATAATTACTGGTTAAATCTAACCGTTCATCTTATAGCTGGATCGTCAGGTAGAAAGTTGAACCAAAACAAGCTATTATCGAGATCTGCTAAATTAAGGTAGCTGTCCTAAATAAAAAGAAGATTATTACTCACAAGTTTAAGTAGATTTAATCCTCTTGAGAGTAAATGCAAGATTTGTAAAACAAAAGTTCATCAAGATAAAGCGCATTACTGCCAAGGTAAGAAACTAGGCCGTACAGCAGCTGTAATGCTATTACTAAGCTTTATCTAGACTGTGCTTACAAAAAGGGCATTTGTGCAATGTGCGGAAAACAAGTATTGGATACAAGCAGTTACAAACAAACAGCTAAATGATTTTTTTTATTGTGAATGGGGGTATATTGAATCGTGATTAAAAACCATTTCTTAACCAATCGATCGCTTCTTTTTCAGTTACCATGGCAGGATAATTAAAAGAAGGAAAGAAAGCTTGTTGTTGAACAGGCTGTTGTACTTGTGGTGGAATGGGTTTTTGTGGAGGTGGAACTGCTTATGCTGTTAGAGTAAAGCCAAATTGAAACTATTGGGTTATCGATTTTACCTGGTTTCGCCATAGAGACCCGCTGTAATTCGAGTATCAGAGCTTGTTTTTCTGTCTCTAACCTAATGGCTTCACGTTCTTTTTCGAGTTTTTCTTTTTCTAATCTTGCAGTCTCCAAATCAGCTTCTTTTTGTGTCTAATTTCAAGTCAATTAATAAAGGGGAGGTTCAAAACATCACTACAATGATTACAATCACTTGGTCTTTTTGCCTATATTTTTGCAACCTGTCCTGTAGACAGGCTAAATGCTGTTTAATTTCTTCGGTGGACATTGAGGATAAGAAAAAAAAAAGAAAAAAAAAGGAAAAAATATAATTGACTGTCCTTTGTGAGGTCTGAAACCCACAATGCTGTGCAACATCTTTTAAGCTTTGACAGCTTAATATCCGACTTATTATAATATCGACCAAAATGATCACAAGTTTCCGAAAATCAAGTCTATTCTTGATATGCATCAAAGACTTTCTTCCTCTCTTTTTGCTCTTAAATCATGTTGAAAGCACGTTATAAACCTAAAAGGTTATATTGGGTTCTAATCGTTTACGTTACAATTGGGGTAACATATGCTGGTAAAAGAATAGACAGATGGAATGGCATGTGTTGGTTGACGTATTTATAAGTTTCTTTCTAGTGTGCGACACTGATGATGTATGTTTGAAGTTTTCATCGACGACATCAATAGCTACTTCAAGCTATTTCTCTTTTCTTCCTACAGATTCATCATTAGATTCCCTTTCCGATTTTCATGAAGCTAAAGTTGCGAGACCAAAAAATAACCAAAACAATCCAGAGACACTGACTCCTGTACAAGCACCTGTCATAATTAAGGATGACATAAACGAAGAGTCGTTGGACAACAACGAAGATTTTACAGGACCCTTGCCTGGTTTGAGTAACATCGAGACTGGTATTTTAGGTGCATGCGGTATTTTAGTTGTTGCTGGTATTGCTGTTGGCATATTTGTCTGGAAAAATACATCGCGTAGGCGTAATCTCCGACAAAACCATGAGCTACCTATATCCGATGAAGAAGGCGATGATTTTGACTACATGAAGCAACTGAATACAAAACAAGGCATTAGTGTACCTTTACCAGCAATTTATCGAGACGACTTCTTTTCAAATTGGCAGCGCAGAAATGGCAAGCATAACGATCCTAATTTTCAATATGAACCAAGACAAAAATCGCCTATGGTAAAGGTTATTTCCGAAAAACAACCATTAGATCTCAAGTTTCAAATACCAGCGTTTGAACATGCGATTTTTAATTCCGAGCAAGAAGCCAATACAGCAAATAACAAAATCTCTCTCAATGTGGAAGAGGATTACATTATTACTGCTAAACATCTTCGGAATTCAGATTACGGTCCAATGTTTAGTGGGGGGTTACCTCAAGCTAATATCACAAGACCATCCGCATTGGATCCTACCTATGATCCAACAGCAATTACATATCAGTTACAAAAGTTCTTAAAAAGTACGCCAGCATTACAAAGCGTGTCCCCTATGGAAATATCGCTAAACTTGGAATCAGACGAAGAACCAAAAGAAATAGTAAATGGATCATTAGGCCATCAACTAAGCAAGCTTCTTTTAACTGAAAACATGGTTCAAGTTGATCTCAATGAACCAGAAAATGCAAAAATAACACTTTCAAATCTCCAAAAAGCATACCAAGGATTAGAGCAAGAGCGCAGAGTAGTTCACCTACAAGAATCTTCAACAGAGAAACGTCCAGCACAATCATTCATTCAAGACTATAAAGACGATTATTTTAAAAAACATGGAACGCCATTCATGAGTTCACTTGATTTACCAGATGATAAATATATTCCACTTCGTAATGCCTCGGGACCCGAATTAATATCAAGAGCTAAAGTTTTGGCAGATCCTGTACTTCGATTAGGACAAGATGAAATAGCACTTTGGGAACAAGGTCGTATAAAAAAGGAATTAAAAAGACTATCTTATGAAATGTGGGACGAGCAAGTGTTGAGAGAAGAAATAGAAGAAGATGATCGAAAGCGTATGGAGTGTTATTATGGCAAATTTATTTAGGCAGATTCCATTAAATCGAATAAAACAATAGTACCCTTTTCAGTTCCAAAACATAATAGCTCTTCTTGTGGTGAGATAGCAGATGATACTACTGCGCTATCAAATCCCGCTAATGTCATACTTGTTTTAGGTGATTTCAAATCCCATACAATCGCTGTTCTATCACCCGAAGTTGTCACTAACTTGGAATGAATAACGGCCGTTGAAATTGACCAAATCGTGCTACGATGAATATTTGGTGTTTCTACAAAGGTTTTTTCAAATCCAGGTAAAGAATAGATTGATATCGTTTTGTCAGAAATTGCAGCAAAAGCAATAAAAGTTGGTATATTTATAGGTAATCTTGAACAGATGTACTCATTTGTTGATTTCGTAACTATATTCTTTTGACAGCTTATGGTTGATTCGTCATATATCGTAAGTGCACTTATTGGACCATTTGTTTCCATAATTGTATTTATGACCTCAGGCTCGTCTGTTCTGGCAGATGCCTTCAAATCCCAAATAAATATGTTTCTATCACTCGACCCAGATATTATATAACCTGCCCTATTTCTTTCCACCGAGTTGATTTCCATTGCTGCTTGACAATAACTTGATGGAAATTCAAGGCAATATAGGAGCGAAGTAATCGTATTTTCTTGTCCATGTAATATTCTAACACAGTTGGAAATTTCCAAGTCCCATATTCTAATCGTTCTATCTGTGGAGCCACTGAACAGCAAATGATCGTCTTTTTTGGAAAAAACTAAACTAGTCACTGGTCCTTCATGTCCGTTTAATCCCATTATTGATTCCAAATTCATCATATCATGAATAACAATTGTATTATCAGAAGAGCCAGAAGCTAGATATCTTGCTGAATTAGCAAGACAGGAAACATGTCCTGAATGGGCTTGTATAAAAGACATGTATGTATTATCTTGTGCGTTCCAAATATGAATCTTTCCATCAATATCACCTGTAAATATGCGCGTAGAGTTGGCAATCAAAATGCAAAGGACTGGCCCTAAATGATACTTTAATTCGATTCTCCTACATTTCATTGTTGCCCAGTTCCGTGTCATTGTTAAGCAACGCTGAAACAAGTTGTGATATATAGGAATCGTGCTATTCCAAGCAATGGGTACGTCGGAGGGTATGATGCTGTAATTGATACAAATCCTTCTCCACAAAGAGTCATGTGTAGTCTTTTTATTCCAAATCCTAGAAACTGTAAAAGAATGAGACACGAATACATCTGTTTAAAAAATAATATACCTAGTCTGAACACAGACAGTTCCTGTGGCGTAAAATGTTCGAGTACTTGAGTGGAAATTGCAATTGGTAAATTGCCGATAATGTCACATTTCCCAAAACATTCAATATATTTCAGAACTTCAAGCCTTTCTTGACAATTCAAGTTATTTGCAATCAATTTTTTCACTGTATAGATACTGTCTATTTTGTAATGAGTGGGAAAGTATTGAACATGCGAAGTCATGACTTCCAAAATAAATAATAAAAAGAGTCCCGAATTCGATTTTTAGATTTTTATGTGTTCCAACACTTGTACTTATAAAATAGGTCTCCGCTTAAAGAAGGGCCACCCTTTACTGAGAAGGGAATGTTAAATTGAATTCCCTGTACTTCGAAACATAAATACATCTAAATTGTTCTAACAAAAAAAAACTTGAACATACCAGTTATAGGGATATATATTTTTACAGTTACTAACACACTAACACCTACAGAAAGATTGGTAGGCCACGACGCATATGTGTTTATAGATTATAAGATAATGTCAAGTAAACAAAACGAAAATATTTTATACTAGTACTTTCTTCTAATATATAAGATGTTTCTCTTACAAGTTATGTATTTTTATTGGATTTTTTTGATATAGCTAGTACAGCGATGCTTTTTTAACTAGTCTCACGCTTTGGTAATACCCCACCTCTTTTGCAACTGCTTTTCATCCCTCCAGGAAAATTTGTTCAAATCAATGTTTATAATTGTATTTTTTGTTCAATAATGTAGTCTAGCCTTTTGTATACATTCTAAAGACAAGCTTAATCATAATATGCTTATTACTTTATTCATTTGAAGTAATTTTTAAACATCATGACTGTTGTCTAAACAGTCATGAGAAGATATATTGCCTCAGGTTATTAATCATTTAAAGACAAAGCGTTCAGATCAAACGACTTCCTTATATTAATTTGGGTTTACTTACCTTCTAGGCTACGGAATACAACTCGGAGATTACTCCGGTATGACATCCATTTGGACCCTTGACATGTATATCGCCAGTATTCTACTCGCTTGCGAACGGATCCAAATTTGTACAGGTACGGTGTCTCTTTTTTTGATCCGCACAAAAACTTATAATTTGCCCGAAAAAATTCAATAGACTGAAAACTGCAAGTCTATGTATCGTTCTCGATCTATCTGTAAAACTCTATGGCGCTATTAAAGTTTGCCGTATAGCGTATACAAAGCTTTTTACTACTGATTAGTTCAGTAAGTGATCATTGAAACGTGATTCATTTGTGGTCGATGAACATCATCATTGTCGGCAATAAACGGAAATCTCTACGGGTAAGCTTCTTGGTTATATTTCAACCCCCCTCCCCCGAGCTCACCTATTTAAATCTGCTTCAAGATTTTAATTACGTGCTTCATCAAAACGTGGGATACGTGCTTTTTAAAAATAGGTCTTCTTATGTTCATTTGTGGAGTTACGTCGTACAAGGCGTGTAAATGATATAGTTTATCCTATCATATCCATCCTATGTTAACTTTGTTGGAGAAACTCTGCAGCTGTTTTTACATGCGTCGAATGTTTGTATAATTGTATAAAGGTAATATACGCCAATCGGAGGATGGTTACATATAATAACAAGGACACAGAAAAGTAAATAATAAACTTATGAAGGCTATTAATAAACTACCGAACGAAAGAGAAGTGTGGCACAATTCAATGTGATGAGGGACAAAATACGGATCTATTAGTATCTAACACCCTAAACTGGCGGCACCAATTTAGGCTTTCCTCATTGAATTGACAAGAAAACTATATGATATACTTCTTAGTCCAAAAATTAGTATATTGGTTATCGTTTGACTGTTGGGGTTGCCTTTCTTCTGAAACAAATAAGGAATAAACAGTAGTACAATATGGTGCTTCGTATCGCAAACTTACTTCAATTGAGTAACTCATGAAGTATCCGCCTGTAGAATTATGACTTTCCTATCTAACAGATACGCGTAGATGTTTCAAATATCACCTTTTCCAAAAAGATAGTTTTGCAGTCCCGCCCTGTCAAAGCTCATGCCAATTAAGAAAATTAGATACATGCAAAAATATACACTTCAATAATAATAAACTGTTTTAGATTGTGAAAAGAAAAAGTCGTTTGGATGAATAGGCTGTAGCATTGGAAATATCCCAGCTGTGAACAGCCGTCACCCCCTATTGTTTGGCTTATGATTGGATACAATTAGCCTCCGCTAAAGTCTTATTAATTCTATTTGTTGAGCCATCATAAGACAGTTTGTTTTATTACGGTTCCCTGATAGACCCGGGTTCTGACAGAAAGGGCAAAACATATCAAACTAGTGTGTAGTCCTAGTGTTTTTATGAATATTGCTAGAAGTGATACTTCAGTGAGAAAAAAGCAGACTAGTTGTTTTAAATCAGAAATAATTAACTCGTTTCATTTTAATATGAAATTTGCACGAGAGATTTTCTTAATAAGATAAAGTAACACAAATGTTTGATGATTGTGCTTCATAACAATATGCGGTGTTTTTATATCAGATGTCCCCCACTGTAATCTATATTTATTTATTATTTTCCCCTCTCTCTTTCTCTCTCTCTCTCTCTTCTTTTTCTTCCTCCCTCTCTATTACTTTTCTCCTATAACCAAAATTTATGATTTTATAAATCATTTTTTTTTTAATATTTTATATTTTTTTACATATACATATTCTACAACAATTAATAATTTGTTCATACCCATAATATGTGGATTATATCAAGAGTGGTAGGTAAAAATAATACTGGTTTTTCTTTTTTGTCAAATAATAAAAAACAATTTTTTTTTTTACTTTAGTTTGGTGAGTCACGGTGGACAAGAGCGATTTTTTGTGTCATCACATTACAAGCAATATTAGCAACAACATTCGAAGCAGTCATTTTTGCTTTTCACGCCAACGAGATAAATTTAATTGATAGTTTACATCTATCTGTGGATGATACGGTTTCCATGGCTACATCCTTTGCCAATGCTAGATCTCTTTTGGTATATTTTGTTCTATTTATACTAGCACAAGTCTTTACTGTTATATTAGTAGTTGATGCCGTAAGTTTCTTTCCAAAAAAGCAACTATCGAGTATTAATTCTTACCTTAGATTTATCAACGAAATACTATTCAACTTATTGCGCTGGTCGCTTTTGAATTGGGAATGAGTGCATATTCGATTATTCAGTTTCATCAATCCTCGACACTCATAGATACAGACAAAACTGCACATTACACTTCTAAAGCGACACTTGCTATGTCTCATTTGGGCAATGCATATCACTCATCACAATGGGCGGAAATAACTCAAATATGCGTCATGATTATAAGCACAATTATATTCATATTTTTGGCTTACAAATTGTATTTGGAGTTTGGATGGCATATTTATAAAAAGATCGGTGCCGATTTAGCGATGCGAGGTAGGATAGAGCTATAGTACAGATAAGCAGTTAAACTGACACAACCCTTTCAGATCGCTATAAAATGTATCAGATTTTCATGATGCTTCTTAAATTTGATTTCTTCTTTTTTCTCGGATTTTCAGTGCAGTATTTGGCTCTGTTGATTGTTGCATGGTGGCCAGACTCGTCTTCCAAAGGGTTGGAATCAGAAATTGTAAGAGAATTAATTGAACATATTGTACTTAGTTGTGTTGTTTCTATCACGATGCTTGTTTCAGCGTATTGGGGTGTAAGTTTTTTTTTTTTAAGGATAATTTTGTTATTAATAATAGATGACTAATTGTTAAAAATAGTTACGACGTGAAAAGAAAATCCACATGTTCATCTTCCTGACATTATGTCTTGCAAGTATGGCCTATTATATCTACATGCTCATCCAGATTGCTAAGGATCCAGAGAGATTTTTAGGTTCAAAAGCTTTCTTAACCTTTTTCTGTAAGTTTACACACGCTCTCGAATTAAAACACCGATCTAAACCCTTACTTTTTTTTAGTGTGCGTTGACATGGTTTTGATTTTGGTAAATAAATAAATCAAGGGATTTTCTCCTGTATGTACTGATAATCTTTCTTAGGCTTCCGTACCTATAGCCATCATTTGTTTAAGGAATTTCAACCTCGGTCTAATGAATCACAGTAAGTATTTCTTTTATTGGCGTTATTGTTTTACTCAATTTTTTTTTTCAATAGTCTCTCATGCCACTGCTTCGGCCACCTCAGCGCATTCTATGGCCCCATTAGGTATAGAAAAATCAAACTCTTCTAGACGATGGTCTATTGAATAATTATAATGTATCCCCCCACCCCCCCCCCCCCCCTTTTTTTTTCTTTTTTTCTTTTTAACGACAACTCCTTTTTAATAATTATCCCATTGCATCTTTCCCCATCCTTTTTTTCCCTTACAAGCCTATTACTATTCTATTACAGACAGCAAACCCAAATAAAATCAATATCCTGTGACTTGCCTCCATTTGCATATTTTACCGTGGGAAAAAGACCGTCATTGGAGAGTTTTTTATTTTTTTATTTCCAGGAACATCAAACGTAACATAACCCACTTTCTTTTTTATTTATTTATCCTCTTTTTTTTTCTCTCTCTCTCTTTCTATCTCTTTAAATGTCTAAACTTGATTATTCTACTGACCCCAAAAGAGGTGAACACCCTTTAATTGTACGAAAGGATGCTCCATTCAATGCAGAGCCTGATATCACCGACTTGGTGAAGAATTATATTACGCCTGAGAAGTACTTCTTTTGTCGTAATCATGGTCCTTTACCGGATATCAATGAATCAGAACACCTTATTGAGATACAAGGCATAGGAATTGAAAAACCAACCCAAATCACGTTAAAAGATATCAAAGAAAACTACGAAAAGACCTCTGTCATGATGGTTATGCAGGTAAGAAAAAAGAAAAAAAAAAAAAGACTATCTTGTGTTTAATAAAATAAAAACCTGTAGTGTGCCGGAAACAGAAGAGACGGGCTCCATAAAGTGAAACACACAAAGGGAGTAAGTTTATCAAATATGATCAGCACGTAATATAAGCACTAATGATATGGGCAGGTGATTTGGGGGCCTGGTGCGTTAGGAAATGCTATCTACAGCGGAAGCAGACTTCGTGATATCTTAGCTACCGTTGGCGTAACAACAAAGATTAAAAATTTGTCTAAACTCCACGTAGCGTTTGAGTCTGTGGAACAGGTAAAAACCAAAAACCAAAAAAAAAAAAAAACAAATAAATAACGCAATAGTATGATTAATTTATAACGCAATCATAGTGTGAGGAAGACACGTGTTACGGTTCTTCCATACCCTTATCAAAAGCATTGTAAGTAAAAATATTATATGCAAAAAAATGTTTCGGACAGAACACATTAATCAAAGAACCACAGAGACGAATTTGGTGATGTGTTATTAGCTTATGAGGTAATTCCATCCGTTTTTGTTCTTTCCTTCTTTATTAATATTTCTCCTCCTCCCCTCCAATAGATGAACTACAGTACATTGACTCGTGATCACGGATTTCCTATTAGAGTCGTTGTCCCAGGTAAGCGTTCGCCCCCCTCCCCCCTTTTTATCATGAAATGGATAAATTAAAACATTCCCTTAAGGTTACATTGGTGGTCGATCTGTAAAATACTTAAAATCGATTACAATTCAAGATCATGAATCTTTATCCTATTACCAACGCAGAGATTATAAAATTCTACCTGAAAGCGTAAAGTTAAATCATCAAACTTCTCTTATTAAAAACTCACACATTGGAATATTAGATTGCCAATGAGGACCAGGCCAATAGTTATTGGTGCAAGGTGCCGTCGATTGGAGAATATAACGTACAATCCTATGTATGTGATCCTGCAGATGGATTACATGAGAAGAGCGTTTCAAATCAAACAGCTCAGGGATATGCCTTATCAGGTAAATTTTAGTTTCAAAATGTTCTGCTGCCTCAAAAAAAAAAAAATTAACTTTTATGAAAAAAAAAAGGCGGGGGAAGAAGTATTCAGAGAGTTGGTAAATATCCCACCCCCATTCATTTTTAATTTTGAAGGAGGTAAAAGCTAAACCGATATTTAGATGTGTCTGGTGATGATGGAAGAACTTGGACAACGGCTCAGTTGTACCAACCAGCTGCTGAAGGAGACAATTGCAGAGTATGGGGATGGTGTCTATGGACAGCTGTGATTCCAACGAAGAGAAATGTCCGCATCGTTAGTAGAGCAGGTAATAAAGAAGTAAAAAAAAAAAAAAAAAAAAAAAAATTGTTATTGAAGCTTTTTACTAGTCGACTCTTCTGGTAACGTGCAACAAGAATACCCTGTTTGGAATTATCGTGGTGTCATGAATAATTCATGGAGAACCGTAGATCCACTCACTTTGGAGATGTCAAACATTTAATAAAACAATTTTTTTTTTAAAAATAAAGCAATAACTCTAAACGTTTATTACAGTAAAAATTATATAAGTGGTATGCGAGGAGGGGGATTTGTTGAAGAATAAAAAAAATTAAATCATTACAAAAAAAAGAGATTGGATACGATTGGAAAAAAAAATTATATATATATAAAAATACAGGAACCCAAAAAAAAAGAGGCGATTTTTTTTTTAACGCATAGGCTTTCTACGAGCATAAACAAGGCCAAGGAATACAATGACATTAAAGGCAAAGAAACCACAAATAATACCAAAGTTACGCCACTTGTGGTCTGCGCTCCATCCAAATCTGGATTCGTAGAATTCAGGGCCAGAGTTAAAAGTACAGTAACCACACATGTCGGGTGCAACAGCTTGAGGGTTGTCAATGTAACCGGGTGCGCCATAGGAGAAGAAGTTCTTGGTATATTCGCCACATGTTTGTCCAGCAGGTACATTGAATTTCAAGAGATCTTCCTGTCGACAGGTCACCTTAAGATTGCCCAATTCGTTCACAGCGAGTCCTTCAATATAATAATGGAAAGGATCCAACCAGTACATCCAGGAACTCCAGAACTTGGGCATTTGAGAGGGTGCTTGCATCAAACCAGCAAACAAAATCAAGAGGGAGATAATCAAAGGATTGATAACAGCAGCCATCAAGGGAGATTCCGAAACGGAAGCAATGACAAAACCAAGAGTAACAGCCCAACATACAAGCAAAGTAAACATGATATAGAAATAACCGGAAGTCTCGGATGAAGAGTCCATACCAGCTGTCCAATAGAAACCAAACATGAAACAAGCAGAATAGAAAGCAATATAAGGAAGTTCAACAAGGACAGCAGAGATAGCCCATGGTAACCAACTGTAATAACGGGAAGCATATTCACGTCTAAAGTACTGTCTCTCCGTAATAAATTTGGGCTGAGCAAGAATAATAAGCGTCATGGCCATAATGAAAGTACCGAAAAGAGCAAAGAGTTTGTTCAACATATCGGAAGATGAAGATTCAAGCTTCCAGAAAGTGAAACCAGTGATCAAAGAGGTAAACATAACATTGAAGAAACGACCCACATTATAATCGGGAGAACGCCAGTAGGCCAAGGACATACGACTAAAGACCAGTTTGAATTGATTGCCCATGTCAGTAGCATAGGTTTCAGCTGGACGAGTAGGGTTGGCATCTGAACCAGAATGAATCTCTTCGAGTTCTTCAACAAGCATCTTGGACTCAGGGGAAGATTCCCAAATTTGAGCCCAATCAGCCTTAGCTTTACCAGAAGTACCAGCACCAACACATTCCAAGATATATTCAGCAGGATTGGCCTCAGGAGAACATGTGGGACCACCGTTGCTTTCAAAGTAGTTAATCATAGTTTGGGAGTTTTCACCAATTTCACCATAGTAAGCGGTTCTACCACCACGGACCAAGAGAAGGAGATGATCGAAATGTTCAAATAAGATAGCAGAAGGTTGATGAATGGTACACAAGACAGGCCATCCAGAATCAGCCAGCTTACGGATAAATCGAATGATATTGAAAGAACTTTGAGCATCAAGACCAGAAGTAGGTTCATCCAAGAAAAGAAGCTTGGGTTTTCCCACAAGTTCCATACCAATGGTTAAACGCTTACGTTCTTCAACAGAGATACCATAACCATATTCAACTTGACCAATTTGAGCATCACCAATGTCTTCCATTTCCAATAATTCAAGAATAGACTCAACATAAGCGTCCTTTTCTTCCTTGGGCACTTCCTTGGGTTGACGAAGATAAGCAGAGAAACGAAGCGCTTCACGAACAGTCACAGCAGGTTGATGTACATCCATTTGCTCACAGTAACCAGTAATACGTTCGAAATCACACATAAGTGCTTCATTGTTTAAGTAAACACGACCATCGATCGTACCAATGGTCTTACGACGAGCCAAGACATCCAAAAGTGTAGTCTTACCAGCACCAGAAGAACCCATCAGGGCAGTTAAATGACCGGGACGAACAATACCAGAAACACTGTTTAAGAGTTGAAGATGACCACCTTTAATAGGGACAGTGTAATCAATGTTTTGCCATGAGAAGGTGGTACCAGTAGCAATCTTATCCATGCTCGTAGTAAAGTTGGCTTGCTTGGAACGTCTAGCTTCTTCTTCTTCAGGTGTACGAGACTTGGGAGCCTTTCCGGGTAAATAGAGCTTGGTAAGCGTACCAGATTTACTTAAACCCACAAACTCCATAGTTAAAGCAGCAATAAGAGTGAATAACAAGAAGAAAGCAACAACAGCAATAAAATCGGGAGCCCAGATTTGTTCAGGAGCATAACTAAGATAATCTCTCAAGTAATCGTCACCGTTAACGAAACTGGCACCAGGTCTACCACCCACCATGGTACAGACCTTGTAATTCCAGTCATCATAACCAGGACCATAAGGAACAGCATTACCACTACCTTCACAAGTATATTCTAATCCACTTAATTCATTAATAAGCAATGCCTTGTAGCCATAAGTCAAAGGATTGATCCAATAGATCCAAGAGAGCCAAGGGTGCATTTTGTTGTAAGGAATTGTATAACCAGTATATGTGTTAATGGCAATAAGAAGACCACCAGATAACTGGGTAGCGACAAAGAAACTGGAAGTACAAGCACCAAAGAATCTGAAGAAACCGTTCATGGACAAGTTAATAAAGAACAAGACAATAATGAAAGTGAAGAAAGCGCCAGCGGTTAATCTTAAACCCATCATAAAATAGGAACAGATAGCAAACAAGATGACTTGAGCAGCCGTATAAGGAATATCCATGACCACCTGAGCGAGATAAAATGCGGAAGGACGATAAAGAGCATACTGCTTATGTTTCTCAAGAATGGGGCGACCCATCAAGAAAGCAATCAGTTCGGATTGAGAGATAAAGGCATTAAACAAGAGACAGAAGAAAAGAGCACCACCTCTGGAGAAGGCACCAGCACCATCGTCGCTCATTTTAAAGAAACAAGAAGCAGTAATAAGAGATTGAATAAGAATTGTACCATAACGAGAGATCAAGGCACCCAAATCAGTAATGTTAAGATGATATTGACGAATGGTGAGATATTTGACTTGTTGAAAGAAGGATGCTGTGAAGGGGGCGCTCTTTTTAGCACGCTTTTGATGTTCGTCATCAACAGCTTGTCTAAAGATATCAGCTGGCTTTTCACTTGCAATCATGCTTTCGTATTCATGGAAGTTGTTCATTACTTGCTTGTAAATGGAAGACTCGAGGTATCTTTTTTCGAAATCTACAGCAAATTTAGGAGCAGACTTTTCATACCCAGGCATAATTTCACGTTCATTGGGGTTACAAAGACCCGTCAAGAAATCAGGAATGGATTTACGGTGAGGACAGAAGAAACCGAGGGATTCAAAGTATTCTTTGGCGGTTTCGACAGGACCAAAGTAAAGACATCTACCTTCATCCAACAAGAGAACATTATCGAATAAAGCAAAGATGTTGTTCGAGGCTTGGTAGAGAGTGGCAACGGTGGTCTTTTTGAAGACATCGGTCATAATACGAAGAGAACGAACATAATCGAGCGCAGAAGCAGCATCTAAACCACGAGTAGAACAATCCCAACAATTGATGGAACTGGAAGTGGTCATTTGTTCAGCAATGGACATACGCTTACGTTCACCACCAGAGAGACCACGAACCCAAGCATTACCCACCATGGTGTTCATTTGCTTGGTAAGACCGAGCATGTTACCGAGCATATAAAGAATCTTGTCAACGAATTCGTTCTTGGTTTCATCAGGAAGACGCTTTCCTGGAGTTTTCATACGAAGAGCAAACTCGAGTGTTTGCTTAGCAGTCAGTGTGGGGTAATGTTGATCTTCTTCTTCGTTATAACAGACTTGACCACGATAATGTTTTGCAAAGGTGTCAGCATCGATACCACCATAACTGACAGTACCATTGATATCTGTGTATGAGCCAGTCATATTAGCCATGACCTTTAAGAAGGAGGTACAACCTGCGCCAGGGCGACCCAGTACAAGCAACATTTCTCCGGCTTCACAATGACCGGTAAGGTTGTTTAAGATGACTTTTTTATTTTTGCTGCCACCGAAAAATTTCCAGAAAGCAAGGTAAGTGAATACGGTAGGAATGGTATGTGCATCTGCTGCTTCACCCTAAAGTTTTATGGTTTAGTATCACAGATTAAAAAAAAAAAAGGTTGTCATAGTTACTGTACCATGACGGTTAAATCTTTCCAAATGAGGCCTAGATTTTTGATATGGTGACCGGCAGAGGTTTGATCGCTTCGAAGACCACTAAGAAATTCATCTAAATCGAACTCTTCAGTGTTGCCTTCTTCGAGTTGACCTTCGTTGGCTGATTTACGACTGATGCGAGATAATTCACGCTTTAATTCGACGTATTCACCCTTGGCAGCTAATAGAAAGAAAAAAAAAAAGAAAGTTTTAGATTTAAAAAAAAAAAAAAAAATTATTATGAGAAAGGGGGCTTTTACCATCAATGTTTACTGCGTTTGCATTAGGTTCACCAAAATTTCCATCGGTTTCGTATTGAAGTCCATTTTGATAAACTGTCTGTGTTGATCCGTCACTAGAAAGTCGACCTGAATCCCGTCCTTTGTTGGGATAAATATCGTGATTGGTCATTTAAATGACAGAAAAAAAGATTTATGTAAGTGGTAGTGTTGGGATATAAAGTACAAGGTTACAAAAAAAAAAAAAAAAAAAAAAAAGAGAGAGATAAAGAATAAGAATTATTGAAGAAAAGTACTCTGGATTTTTTTCGAGCTGCCTTTTATACGAAAAACGTGTTTTATTAGAGTGCCGTAGTTTTTCCGCTATAAGCATGTCAATTAGTATGTAGAACGGCATCTACGTTACCGACCCTATGATATCAAGCTGGAGCGGAGTATTCGCCACACTCCGATATCGGACGTAAAGGGGGGCGATTATCCCCACACACACACACACACACACAAACACACAGATCAATTTTTTTGGTGTTGTCTTTACAAATTTCCAACCTCCAATTTACGGACTACGTAATTTTTTTTTAAAAAAATGTGCAAAAAAGCCGCAAGTTTTTTTTTGTCTGATTGTCAAACCAGCCTTCATACAGCCTAAAGCAAATCCCCATTCCCGTTCCAAGACGGCATAAAACCTAAATTAGAAAGTACGCGTGCACTTGTAGTCATATAGGCCTCCATTGTATGGAAGCCGAAAGTACCGATGAGTTTTATTTATGTTCTTATCAACCCAAATATTCTGCTTTGACTTTTTTTAGAGCCTTTCTCGGCTTTGTGCGTTTCCGTGACCTATGATTGGCTCAAATTAAGCACTGAGATTTTTTCGGAGCGGGTTCAAACTAAAAAGAACGGGCCGATTAAAAATGGTTGGTTATTGACAATCTTTAAACCGGATTGTTTGTATATTTGTATAATGGTATCATTGTTTGTTTTTTTTTCTTATCAAGCCTCACATATATTCGTACGACGTTAATTATTTTAAAATGAAAAAAAATTAAAAATTAAATAGAGAGAGAGAAAGGGGGAAAAAAGGAGATAATTAGCCTGAAACCAACCAAGAATTGGGGTTTTCTTTTTTTTTTTTCATCATTTTCTGACTGGAGATGTTCTCCCAAAAAAAAAAAAAAGTTGGTTCCACTTTAATTAGGCCTACGAAAGAAAAAAACTTTATCTTCTTTGAAAATGCAGCACAAAATTGATCTGCAAGTAATTGAGTAAACGATTTAGTTTTGTGCAACACTTAAAATAAAAAGCTATTAAAATGTAACCTATCGGCTAATCTTTGATACTTTTTTTTTTTTTTTACTCAACTCTACTATTTTTAGACAAACATCATTTTCACAATGATTTAGCAAAAACTGTTTGCTCGGCTTTTTCATGCGGATATATAAAACTTCCTGGCTTATAAGAGCTATTTCATTGGCTAAGCTCGCGTTTTTTTTTCTTTCTTTCCTTCGCGTCTTCTTTATCCCAAAAGCTTGTTTCCTTCTTTAAGCGGCTTTAAAGGCTGTTTAAAGAAAAAAAGAGAATATCCGGGTCTTAAAACTGCATAATTTACTATCCTGGCCTTACAGTTCTTCTATATCAACAACGGTGCTAGCAGAGCCATGAATTTTTTTTTGGAAGAAAGGTCTCAGATAATTGGGATTTTTTAGTTGTTATTTGTATCTAAACTGATACCAGAGGGTCAACCATCCAGTCGCAAGACCAGAAAAAAAATAATTTAGAACAGAAAACAATCATGAAACAGCATATAACAAATAAAATAAAAAGATGCGGAAGTCACCATTGACATGTGTATTTTTCAAAAAAAAAGTTTTCTTATCTGAGCGAGCTTACAATTCTATTAAAAGAAACTGTGCATGTAGAAGTGTCTGCTTTACAGAGTGCATGCTTCTTTTTAAATTGTCTGGGAGATGCACGCACAGATAGTAATGATGATGATGACAGTAGATAAGAGTTCTTGGGTGTTGTTGTATTTAAACATGAAACTTATCGTTCTTCTACTGAGTGAACAGAAACGGGCCAATAGGCATTCACGGCAAGCGATTATCAATTTCAACATATACGGATGATTGCAACAAATAACAACATCAAAAAAAACGCCCTTGATCAAACCCAACATTTCGGAATCAACCCCTTTTTTTTTTCTATGTGCTCGTCAAATAAATGGGTGATTCCGCTTTTTCTTCTCTAATAGAATTGACGATTGACGATGAAGGAAGGGGGTTTCTTTTGAAACATTAACTTTGTAAGGGATTTCTTCAATTCTAGGTGGGACTTGAACTCTTTTTTTTTTTTTTTTTTTTTTTCAAATACACTTTAAATCTGTATTTTCTTATTATGTGTGGCCTCTCCTCTTTTTCTGGAAATTTACGGTTAGAAATTTCTTCGGTTCGTGTAACAAATGGCAAATTTAAAGTTTTATAAAAAAAAAAAAAAAAATTCGTTCTGGGGGTATTTCGAACATTGGATCTGCGACCTACTGAAAGTACACACACTAGATTAGCCCCAAGGATCATCATCTTAACGGGTTGTTTCTTTTTTAACATAAATACTTTAATGCAATGTCAAACCTTTTTTTTTTAACTCTTAAGTTTACCCTTATTTTCTTCGTTTTCAATATGCGAAATCTATCAACCGACACACATTCACTTTATACAAGAACATTTTGATGACAACGGGTTTTCTGCTTTAGCAATCATTTCTTATACAACATAGTGTAATGCTATGTTCTTTCGGTTCAATGAGTTTTTATGATTTAAGCTAGTGCACGAACCCCCCTCCCTTACTCTTTAAACGACCATTTAGCCGAAATTCGTACCATGATGAATGAAAAGGTTCTCCCTATTTTACTTTTATTGTAAGGTGCACAGACACAATAATTGCACCACCCTTTTAAATATTCACATTGACCGCCACTCACCTCTGTGATGTTTAGGGGGGGGGGAGGTAGATATGGAGGACTGAAACAGTAATCTATTATAAAGAAGCCGTACGTGTTTGATGGGAGGGAGGGTCATTTACCCGACATGTGATAAAAAAAAGTGGGGTTTGACTTCCCACATGTCTCTTTCTACTCGAATGTTCTTATCCAAACGAACTGGTTGCTGTGTCAAAATATATTGGTAATACAAAAAGGGCCAAAAGTACCCCTAAGTTGGCATGGGGATCTATAGCTTATTTCTACCATAAAGATAGAAAAGGGAAAAATGGTTTGTAACAGAGTTATTATGTCCATATATGTGCAATTTTAATGCTTTATTTTAAATGATGATGGTGTAACTAGGCTATATTATTGTAGGGTAGGTCAGAAATGAAAGAGAGAGAGAGAGAGAGGCGGGCGGGAATGTGTCAGAAAAAATAAAAGATCGTCATCGATGTTATCAGCTCTCTTTTTTTTTAGTTCAGGGACCTCCCGATTCCCTTATCAACCCGGATTCCCATCATTTTGGTGTAATACGAATACCCGATTGTTTGTAAGCATTTATTTTCAGAGTCCCCCACTTTATTATAATATGTCTCAGTTTGATAAAAGTCTCTATGTGCAATGTATAACAGAGGCTCATGTGTGGACTGCATTGACACATGAATAAAAGCATTCGAGAGGTTCAACTGACTCAATTTTTAGACCCATTCTGAACATATAAATAAATAAAAAGGACTCACGATGAGTCTGGCATGAAATCACTCAGATTGGGTTGATTTTCAATCCGATCGAAGCTATAAACTATTGACAGGGAAAAGATATTTTCCGGTAATTGACAATTGTCAGTTCCCCCCCCCCCAAAGAGTTAAATATTGCCGCTCTCCCTCCCCCCTTTTTATTTATTGACAACATCTTTTGTCGTGATTTTCTTTAGAACCCGCTTCATGCCAAATCTCTTAAAGCACAGGCATAATATGCAAAAAAAAAAAAATTCCCATTTGAAATACACCCCCTTTTTTCTTATAGAGACGCTCTAGTCTTTATTTTGTCTCGGCAAACAACCTAAATAGAGGATGATGCCGTTATTCGAGAAAGTGACCCCAGGAGAAATCAAGGAGTCATATGGGTCATTTGATTCCACTTTTTTTTACAACTGTCAACAGTTTGTCCATAGAATCACATGCTTTTTATTTAGTATGGGAACATGATGGTTTCATACTACAGATGACCCTCTCATCCAGCAGTAGTCATTTATTCTATTTTGACCATTATTTTCTGGTTGTGTAATACTATCGTGTAATACTATCGTCGATGTAATACTGTCGTCATATGTGTACTAAATATAAGGTCGAAGTTTTCTTTTAAAAATGGCCCTAAACACACACAGAGATATTGCATGCATTGCTGCAGGACAGAAATAAAACTCCTCTCGGTTTAAAATGGTAATGTTAGTCAACTGATGAATTATTATTTTGTTTCTAGACAGAATGGCATAAACACGAGAAGAATAGACACCTGCGTCATTTTTGCTTTGTAAAAAAGGTGCCACTGTGGATTTTGGATAACAAGAAAAAGTATACATATCATGCATCTGCCTTGTTACACAATGAGGTGGCATCCTCACCCCCCCCCTTTTCTTTTTATGTTGCGCTCAGAGGGTGCAGTTTTACCGTATATATATAGATAAAGGGTTAATAAAATAGATGCACTTGCTGTGTGATTTTAAAAAAGGGAAATAGAAAGAGAGAATAAGAAAGAGAAAAGGGTCGAGATGTGGCTTAGTTTGAAAGCTAGTAGAGACATATGCACAGTTACACTTTGGGAGTGATATAATCATTTTAATATTTTCTCTCCTTTTTTTTTTTTTCCTTTTTTCTTCTTTCTTTTTATTTTTTTTTATTTTATTTCTTAGATATGGCAGGGTTTGGTAAAAAAGCAATGTCTGGTGATGAGGACAGTGACGATATGGGATCAACTAGAGCAAATAAGAAGACGACACTAAAGAAGCGAAAGCGATACAGTACAAAGGAAGAAGAAACTGGTAAAAAAAAAAAAAAAGAAAAAGAAAAAAAAGAGAGTGTTTTGGGAAGTGTAAGCGCGGGGCTCACATCTATTTTGGTAAAAACACAAAAAAGATAGTGTATCAGTTGTTGTACCCAACCATCATCATCAGCAGGATGCTGAAAAGAAAAAGTTGAAAAAAGAAAAAAAACCGAAACAGAAGGCTACACCAAAGAAAAAAGGTAAGCAACTCTTCTCACAGACACACACACACACACACACACACACACATGGTGCACACAAAATAAATAATAAAAATTAGCGCCGTTGGATTTGGACAGACAGTGCGGTGTCATCATTACACCAAGTAATCATCCTTGTACAAGATCACTTACGTGTAAAATTCATGCTATGGGTGCAAAACGATCTGTGGAAGGTAGAACACAGCCATTTAATGATTTACTGGCAGCCTATCAGAAAAAAGGTATAGGTAGACCACAAGGTATTCATAATAGATACTGTTACTTTTTTTTTCTTGTTTTTTTTCTCTTTAATGATTATAATAAAAAAAAAAAAAAAAGTTATACCACATAAAAAAAAAAAAAGAGCCCAAGAACTCATCCTGTGTCACTTAGTACCTGGTACGATGAATGATAAAGATAAGCTTGATGGAACGAAAAAGACATGGATGAATACGGGGTCAAGTCATAAAGAGAATGCAAAGACAGAAGAAGAAGAAGAAGGGGAGGATGAACGAGATAATAATGAAGGACAAGAGATTGATTCTGATGAAGAAACAGAGAGTGTACGAATAGCCATTGAACAAACTAAGCCTATTCCGCTCGGAAAAAGACAATTATTTTATGTTTGCCGAAAGCGTAAATATTACAAATTAAGAGATATATTATTAGATGCTATCACACCAAAAGACTCTACTTCCTCCTCCTCTGTATCAGCCACACCAGTAACTGCTGCATCTGAAGTTTATTCACAAAGGATCTAAAAGAATATATATTATGTGGTGCAAACACCAAATAAAAATATAGTGAACCAATCAATAAACTTGTCATTCTTTTGAAAGAAAAAAAAAAAAAAACGTGGGTAATATGGGTAAGTTTTATCCACATGTGAGAAAAATTCATTTACAAAATCATTCGTGTAACGGTACTCGCCTGAACGTTTTACAAAATCGAGATTTCACCGCCCCCGGATAAGGACCTGCCGAATATAAAGTAAGTTTGAATTTTTTTTTTTTTTTATATTTTGTTCTTCTTGTTCTATTTTAAAAAAAAAGTATTCTTTTCTTCTTCTTCCATACCCCCTTCTCTTTTTCTCCCAATGATGAACCCTAGGTAAAAATAAATAAATAAATAAAAAAAGGTGCCTCAAATAAGCTAACACTTAGACATTAGTAACAACAAGAACGATAAACTCAAGTTGCCTCCTATATCTGCAATGGATGAATTTCTACCCACACGTACATGGCAATTAGAAGAGCAACGGGAATGGAAATCACCCCCTTATAGAGATAGAAACGAACTTTCGAGAGACACTTCTTACAAGACTTGTTTATACAATACAACTTCGCCCATTCTTATGCAACAAAGGGGAATAGACCCCCCTGAGTCACCACAAGGGGTAACATCTTCTTATTTTCAATACACTACAGCAATACACTCAACAACAACACCACCACCACCACCACCACATACACAACCACCACAGACACATACACAACCAACAAGAGGACCAAGTCGCGTAGATAATGACATTGAAGAGGTAATTGTGTATGTTAGTTATTCACACCCAATAAAGAATACCCTTATTTATCCCAAATCGGTTTCTATTCTATTTTTGTTACTCTAAAAAGGTAGTTCGACAGTGTCATACATTATGCGATAATATGGTGCAACGTAAAAGCCAATTCATTCGACAAACAAGCCCATCCGAATTGGACTCAACACGGCCCTGGTTAGACGACATGATTGGTAGAGCCAATGAAGTATTAAATGCCTTGTTAAGGTTAAGAAAGCATCAAATGGCATCAGAACAACAACATCAACAACAACAACAATCTGAGCAACAGGTAATCCTTTACCCCTCCCTTTGACCTCTCTCACTCTCTCTTTTAACCCCACCTCCTTTTTTTTTCTAGAATAAACACAGTCCCCATCTATGGCGTGTAAGATCCTCTTCTCCATCTGCAAGGGACAACAACAACAATCATCATGTTACCCGACAAAGAAAACGAGGCGTACAGTGAATCTTTTTTTTTTATTTTGTTTTCTTTTACTGCATTTCTATTTACATGCTGACTTTTTCAAGTATAGAAACGACCTGCTTTTCAAGGCAAATGTCATAGTTGTAATATCTCTGAAACACCTGAATGGCGAAGAGGGCCTGATGGTGCTCGTACACTCTGCAATGCATGTGGCCTTCGTAAGTGCCAATAGTTGGTTTCTACAATGGCTTATTTCTTACACATTTTTCTTCTTTTAGATTATGCTAAATTAGCTCGTAAACAACAGGAAAATCGCGGCATGAGTACAAAAAGACTTACATCATCACCACCACCACCACAGGTGCAGTCGGTTGCAGATCATATCCTACCTACAGGTTAATTATACAATAAACCCCTCTTCCCATAACAGTGTGTTATGAGAGGCACAAAAAAAAAAAACGAGAGAGCTCATTTAGGGTAGTTTATTCCCGATTGAGTTACATCTCCAGTCAATGTCACTTTTTTCCCACTGTTTACAAAGATTGGGTTATCTATGATCTATAGACCCAATCATAATATATCGTAAATTTGATAAGTCCAATCCAATTGATTGGTTATATATTCATAAAAAGATAAGCTTTTTTTGTATCTGTAATAAAAAATTCCTTTTCAGGATTTTTTAGACTTTTATAGTTTTTTTTTTTTTTTTTTTTTTTTTTTTTTAAAAAAAAAAGCAAATGATAAACTAGCAAAAAACCTTAGATTTAATCATGCTTATAAACTCAGTTTTCTGATATCTTTTATTTCCCAGGAAACGTTCCCCCCCTATCGTCCCCCCTTCTCGCTTTTCCCCAGAAATGCTTGTCATCTCATGTTTTACTGCTATTTGTACGTGTAACCCTTCTTTTTTGCATTTCTGTCAAAAAAAAAAAAAAAAAAAAAAAAAAGATGCTCCGTCAATTCGGTGATTGTCCAAACATTTGCTTGTCATTTTTTTTTTTTTAAATCTCAATTTTTTTATTTTTGCTTAGCAAGGAAAACGAACCTTCAGAATGACAGAATTCTCAGAATTTTTATTTTTCCCTTGACAAGATGTTTGAATGGTCACACTCACCCTTCCCCACCATCACCATCGCCTTTTTGCATGTGACCCCACATTACCCCCCCCTCTTTCTTTTTACATTGGCGTATCACACGCAATTGTCACACAAAAAAAAAGGGTTGGATTCCAAACATGAACTTTCTTTAACTCATATACATCGACATCTGATAAGTCTCCTCTTTCTAAGTTTTGCATCACTTGGATAAAAAAATGTAAACCCCCCCCCCTTTTTTTTTTGCTTTTTGGTATTCTTCATTGGGTCAAAGAAAAAAAGTCTTCTTGAAAGCTTCTATGTGGGCTGTCGGGGATTTTCCTATGCGATTATGCAAAAAAAATAAAAAATTAAAAGTCAGCAGAACAAAAAGCTCCCTCATTAAGATTAAAAAGAAAAAGGGTATTTTTATTAGGATGATGAAAGGGAATATTATATTTACAAAAGATTTTCTTTTTTTTAATCGTGATCCATTAAAGTAGTTGTAGTTGTAGTAGTAGTAGTAGTAGCACTTGCTGTTTGCTGAAGCATGATTAATCGTTGTAATTGGTTAGGTGTTAATAATGGAAATGAATTTTGTTGTTGTTGTTGTTGTTGCTGTTGTTGTTGTTGCTGTTGTTGCAGTAGCTGTTGTTGTAGCTGCTGCTGCTGTTGTTGTTGTTGAGCCATCATACCCATCCAATTTAAAGTAGGCGTAGGCTGTAATGATAACCGATGTCCATGCTGATGATTGGGTAATATAGCTCTTCCCGTACTCACTGTTGCTGCTGCTGTTACTGTTGTTTCTGCGGTGATTGCTGTGGTGGTGGCTATCTTCACTTGCTCTTGTTGTTTTGATAATAAGACCTGTCGAAGACCCTCATTTCCATGATAATAATAATGATTAGGTAAAGACCCCGCAATGACCATAGCCGATGGACTCGATGTGTCCGCTGCCTTGACTTTTTTTTCTTGTTCTTCTGCGGGTGGACAAAGAGAATACCGTCGTTGTCTTTTATCATTGCCTGGCCATGAAGGTGTAAATGTAATGGGTCTTCCACCTGATCCACCTCCACTCGACTCTTCATTCTTTTGAATCACTGTTTTTAGACCTCTTCCCACACCTAATGGTTGTGGCTGTTGTTGTTGTTTGATGTGGTTGGTAAGGACCGTACTGCCACTTCGATTTCGTTTTTTAATCACGTCTGTTTTTAAACTCAGTGGACGGACCACGCCATGTAATTTCAGGAACAATCCACACGCATTACATAATGCAAGTCCTTCGGGATTTCTTCTCCAGAGTGGTGTTGTGGTGGTATTGCAATTGGTGCATTGGGTGACGGATTTGTTTTGTAGTGATGACAGTGGTGGTGGTGAGGGTGTTTGTGGTGTTAGTGATGCTGATGGTTGCTGTGGTGATGGTTGTTGTGGTGATGGTTTCTGTGGTGATGGTTGCTGTTGTACCTGTTGTTTATTTGTTGGCACTGATGTGTGACCAACTGCGGGATCTCCCGAACCTGCTGGGAAAAAAGAAATTACGTGAGTAAAATATATATAAAAAAAAAGGTGGTGATTTATAAAAAAAAAATAATCCCACTCACTGTAGGGTGTATCATTGAAATGATACATGGTGAGTAAATCCTCAAAACTTATAGCACCGGGATTTGTATAAGAGTCTATTTGTACGTCATCTTCGTTTGCAAAGTCAACAGGTATAGTGATGCTGTTATTGCTGACATGTGATAAAAGGGGAGAAGACTAAAATAAATAAAATTATTTTTTTTAGTATATACATATATATATATATATAAATGTTATTTGGAAAAAAAAAATATTTTACTTTTTCATTTAAAGGAGAAGATGCACGCGCCGATCCATATACAAGTACATTTTGATTAAAATGATTATTACTTGGTGGGGCGGAAGATGATAATAAGGCTACAGTGTCATCCGGTGCTGGAGGTGATAATGTCGCTTTTTCCTTTTCTTCCTTTTCTTCCTTTTCTTTCTTTTTATTTAATGTCATGGCCATCATACGCCAGGTCAAATTCTCTAAACGAGATCCATTTGGTAATGTGTCTTTGGCTTTGGTGTACAGTCGCCATACTTGCGTTGCCAATGGATCAGGTTGACTCTCTTGTTCTTTTCGAGGTGGGAATAATGAATCGGACAAAAATGATGCAACGGGTGGACTGGATTTCTTCATCTTCTTTTTGTGTGTGTTATATATATATAAAAAAAAAAAAAAATAGAAAGAGAAAAAGAAGAAATAAAATAAAATTATAAAATAGAATCACTTATGGAGTTTTAATTCATAGTCACTTTTGATATGCGAAAAAAGGGCCCCCCCACCCACTCCACCTCACTCTTTTTTTGCCGTCGTCTCGGCTTATCCCTCCCACACCCCCCTTTTTCTTTTATTTACACCTACTTTTTTTTTTAAAAAAAATAGTTATGGATAAACTGCCTGAAGAAATCCTTTTACGTACCTTTAAACTACTTGTGAATAATGTCAGTCAATTAGCAACATTGTCACTTGTATCTAAACGTTTCCATCGGTGAGTGAAAAAAAAAGAAGAAGAAATAGGCAGTAAGACTCACCTCGAATATATATATATATATAGAATGACGCAAGACGCAAAGTTATGGTATCTTTGTTTTAAAGAGAGATATCCTATCTGGGGCAGCAATGTAGACTACGTTTGTCGTTCCAAAAAACTAATTGATTGGAAAGAATTCATGATTCACCTCATTAAACAAGAGAATGCGACCCGACATTTCTCGTTCGAGTTTGTAAAAGAGCAGCCTACCACCAACACTAACACCACCGGCAGCAGCAGCAGTAGGAAGCGAAAATTGTTGGCAGATGGTGAACAGGATTTGGGTATTCTGATGGATGATTTTATGATGGAAAAGACACCCTTTTGGATACAGGATCCCTTGGTAGTGGATATCGATCGTACCAGTAAAAAGGGCATTGTGGCCACAGGCAAACATCGAAAGAATATAATCGAAAATCGTTCTGAGCACAAAATCTTGTTTTGGGAATATCCTTCTTGGAAATTAAAACGTACCTTTGAGCTCAACTTGACTCCACCCAATTTAACCTGTCAAATCATTGGTATTCAAACCATCCGTATGCCAAATACATCGCACAATGTACGTTTCTTTTCTCTCGCGATTGGTATGGGAATGGGATTATTACAAGAATTAGATGATATTGAAGACAGAGTGGATATTTGGAAATCGTTATTTATTTACAGACTCTTTCAAGATGGTTCAACACAATGTGTCTCCCATATCGAAATATCCGATAGTTTCTTGGGCAGAGAGATCTTTTTGTTTTCAGATACGTCATGGTCAGACGATGATCCGAACAACAAATTAACCGATTGGATGCAAATCGTCTCTCCATCCGATGCAACCTTTGATCGTAATTACACTGTGTTTATATTGGCCATTGGTCCCATCTATGATCGTATTACAGGCTGTGTTCAATTGGCCAAATTCGATTTACGTGGACAAAGGAATATCCTTGATCCATCCATTATACCCGTTTACTGGAATCGTACCTTGAATCAACTCTTATCGATTTCAAATACCATGATCTATGCTGATCCAACTCATATCATCACATCCATCAAGTTGGGCAACGAAGTCAGTTGCATGATTCATTTCAAATACCCCACCTATCTAAACCATTTAATCTGTACAGGAAGTTATCAAGAGGATGAACTCTCCGTTTATGACTGGCGATTTGGTATCAAGGTAGGTTCCTTACCATGGAAATCTATCCCTTCTTCTTCCTCCTCCTCTTCTTCCTCCCTCTCCGCACCTTCCACTGCTGCTGCTGCTGCTGCTGCTGATGATGCTGATGCTGCTGCTGAAAGAGACATCATGATGGATGTTCGACCATGGGGTTTGGAATCCACTCTCGTTCTACCTTCCACTGGCGACGATTTGGACTTGTCACATCGAGGCTTCAGGCTGATTGCCGTGGGGGATAATCGAAGTGATAATACCCGAGATAAATTAGAAATCAAGGTGTGGGACATATCCTATCTATTAAACGTGCATTGGAATCCATGTCAACCGGGTCCTCTTTCTAAAGAAATTGATTTCTCCAGCCGTTTCTCGTGGTGGTCAAGGCGTACAAGTGCACTTGAATTTTACGCCTACCATATGTTACACAGAGAAGAAAGGATCGTATTACCTTATTCACCGCCGCAAGGATTTGAATCCATGTTATTATCTCATACGTTTGATAAAGAAGAAGAGGATGACGAGGACGAGGAAGAAGACACAGTGGAAGAGTTTATACCAGTGAAATACACAGCTTATAATGTCTTGTATACTTCCTTATTCCTCCTTACAGAAGATGGAAAAGTCACGGTGATGGACATCGAAACAGGCAAAATCACGGGCACAGTAGAAAATGTAGCTGCTCATACGTTACAGCAAGTGAGAGGCATTGATGTCAATGTCATTGCGGGAAGAGAAGTGGTGGTGACAAGCAAGGAAGGTTTATTAAGAGGAATTGTGTATCAATAAAAAAAAAAAAAAAAGAGAAGCCTGCAATCGTGTGTATAATACTCAATTACCCGATGTGGATGTACTAAATTTTAATCCAATCAAAACTCTCGATCGGGCGAGTGGGGTATAAATTAATCCTGCATTCTGGTATTCCAACAATATTTTTATTTCTATCACCTTCCCTTTTCTTCTCCCCTTTCACCTTTTTTTTTTTTTTTTTTTATTATTATTATTATTTTGGATGAACCCTTATCAGCAACACATTGTGCCTTCCGATGCTTCTTTAGACTCCAAACCGTTTTTATATAATGAAATACAAGATACACTCTTATTGGGAGAATATCCCTTAACAGACACTACCATCACACCACCCGTCATGAATAACAATTTAACTGGGGTTTATTCCAACACTGGATTTGATATGATTCAAATATTATCGCGACTCATTCATAGGTGCCTATACACGCAAATTACACACACACACGTTTCTTTTTTTTTTTTTTTATTGCTCACAACCCCCCCTCCTATTTTAGACCCAACCCTCAGATACAATTAGGACCGATCGACTTGTCTTGCTCTTTTGTGGTATCTGATGCCAAACAATACGATTGTCCCGTTGTCTATTGTTCACCTGCCTTTGAGAGATTGACAGGGTATACAAATAGCGAGATTGTTGGAAAAAACTGTCGTTTTTTACAAAGTCCGGATGGACAAGTCACTTGCGGTTCAAGGCGTCAACATACGGATAATCAAGCCGTCTATCATTTAAAAGCACAATTGAATCAAGGTAAAGAACATCAAGCTAGTATCATTAACTATCGCAAAGGTGGACAGGTAAGCTCTTTTGTGTGTGTGTGTGTGTGTGTGTGTGTGTGTGTGTGTGTGTGTGTGTGTGTGTGTGTAATAGGTAATTAAAATAATAACTCCCCCCACCCCTTATATTATTTTAAATAGCCGTTTGTGAACTTGGTGACGGTAGTACCGATCTTGGGGCAAGATGGTACAGTGGATTATTTTGTCGGGCTTCAAGTGGATCTTGTTGAGCAACCAAACTCTATTCTAGACAAGATGAAGGGTAAAAAAAAAAAAAAAAAAGAGTGACATTTTTTTCAACATGGATTTTTAAAAAAACAAAAAAAAAAACTCTCTCTCCCTTGTTGTTGTTGTAGATGGAACGTACTTGATCAATTACCACCACCAACCGATGAATACAATTATGCCTACTTTGCAAGGTAGTTCAAATAAATTGGAAACGACCAACTATATTTTAATCAAGCACATCTTAATAGATAATAATCCTCTCGTAGATCCCAGCGTGGATGAATATTTTCGCGAATTACCTTCCTCTAATAATAACAACAGTAATCTTAATAATAATAATGGTAGCACCCAGATGGATATTATCAGTTTGTTGGATTCAACCCAAATTGATTTTGAAAACTTGACAACCAGCGAGCAACAAATTCAAAAGGAATGGAATAAAGTGCTATTAGAACAATCGTGTGATTTCATTCACGTACTTTCACTCAAGGGTCTCTTTCTCTATGTATCTGATTCTAGTCTGGACATGTTGGAATATGAACCAGAGGCCTTAGTTGGCACCTCATTAAGCTCGATTTGTCACCCATCCGATATCATACCTGTCATGCGCGAAATTAAGGAAGCTACCACACATCCGGACAAAGTCATCAATCTTCTCTTCCGTATCCGAAGAAAGTGCTCGGGTTATATCTGGATTGACTGTCGTGGTAAACTCCACATGGATCAAAGCAAAGGTCGTAAATGTCTCATCCTCTCCGGTCGTGAAAGACCCGTTTACAAGTTACTGAACACTGTCCATATTTCGGACAATGAGTATTGGGGTAAATTGAGTCTGGCAGGCTTATTCACCCATGTCACTTCCACTTGTAAAGATGTTGTGGGGTTCAGTGCAGACTCTTTAGAAAACGAATCCCTCTATCAGTACGTCGAAAGTAATTACGTCACTGAACTCACTCGTGCCCTCGAACGCGTCAAGGAGAACCAGATCACTAAAGTACGTCATACCATTCTCAACGCCAAAGGTGCTTATGCCTCTGTTCAGAGCACCTTTTATCCCGGTGATACTCTGCATGGTATCGGACAACCTTCCTTTGTCTTGCTCCAAATGAAACTTTTACAACAAGACGATCACGATGACAACAACAACAGCAATAACAACAGCAATAGCAACAGCAATAGCACGGGAACAGACACTTGTAAAGACAATTTATTTTCGGAATTAGAAACATTTCGTAGTACCAATTGGCAATATGAATTACATCAACTTCGACAATCGAACCGACGATTACGGGAACAACTGGAAAGATACACCAACCCTAACAAGCAGCGAAAAAAGGTACGCTAGATACTACATATGGTACATTCTCTCCCCCCCTTTTAACACCTTTTTTTATTTATTTTATAGAAGCGTGTCAAGTTGATGGATAGTCCCAAGATGTGCGCCAAGTGTCAGCGGAAAGACTCTCCTGAATGGCGTAAGGGGCCTAATGGGCCTAAAGAGCTTTGTAACGCTTGTGGCTTACGGTATGCTAAATCGCTTCTCTCCAGTAAAAAATAATCCGCCCCCACACCCCTTTTCCTCTCCTTTTATATACCATCCATCAGATAAAATAAATATATACATATATTTTTTTTTTTAGTTCTCTAAAAAGAATTATACGGCCTTAGATCAAATTACAGCCACTCTGATGGACTCTTGGTTATTTCGTCATGTTGTAGATCTTCATTGTCTCTTTTAACAACAAATAAAACTAGAGACATCATGTTTTATTCTATACTTGACCAACATCATTTTGAAAAAAAAAAAGTCTACAAATGAAAGTTTATCCCTTACAGACTCCTTTAAAAATGTGAATTTTCCAATTCACTGATGGTTAGATTTAGTTTTGCTTGTATTCCGTAAGAAAAAAAAAAAAAGGGTGATGGGATGTCTTTATGAGTAGTGGATAACAACCTTTTCCAATTCTTTGGGTAGTAGCCCGTGTCCATGTGGGGGAAAAAGGATAATACCCCCCAACTCCTTTTTGTTGAAACGGATAAAGGTCCAATCAAGTGGCACAGGGTATTTCACCCTATATGCATTGAAAATAAACTTCTCCCCGAGAGTAAGTTGGTCAATACGTTGGTCTCTTTCAAACCGTTTCCAAGGCACGTGAATGACGATCATCAAGGAGACCTTCTTTAAAGAAGAGTCTAACCACACTTGCCGAAGATTACAAAATAAAAAAAAAAGATATATTCGTATTTTTTTTTTTCTTATCCTGTGAATAATATTTGAGTATAGGCTTAATAGTAGATGTGTTAAATTCTTGTATGCATCAGAGTGCAGCAATCACAGGTGGATACCTAGTTCTACACGCATGAGGAGTTATTTTCTTGTGAGAATTCGCAAGAATATGGTTCCTTTGACAGACGTGCCACTGGTGACTTCTTTTCTGTAGTGGCCTTAAACGCATCATCTAAAACGGAAAGAGCCTAGATTTCAGACCTTTTTATTTTTTCAAGCTGAACAGAGGGTCGAAAGGGCTCTCTTTTTTTTTTGCAGCATTAGCAGTTGATCGTATTACAATTTCGTGGGTGTGGAAAATAGGGAACGGAGGATTTAAAATGAAAAAAAGAAGATAAAACTCCGTCTTTAGCATGATATAAATGACGTAATGAACAAGTTATAGTGTTTTATTTTTATTTTATTATTTTATGGAGAGAAAAATAGATTTTTTTATGCTCCCAAAGTGGGGAAAGCCTTTGCATCTGACAAGTTGACAGAACCTTGACCACCACGACCACCACGACTGTTACCGCCGCGAGAACCGCGACTGTTGTTACCACCACGACCACCGCGACCTCCACGTCCTCCACGACGGTTTTCGCTTTCACTGCGATGAGCAGGTTGATCGATTTCCAGATAGACCTTTTCTTTCTTGGTCTTGTTCTTTAATTTGGGATCGGATTCCTTTAATAAAGGTTAATATAGGAAGAATTTGCGTTTAGTTAAGGCTTTTTTTTTTTTACCTTTCCAGCAAAGTATAAGTCTTCTTCTTTTTCGAGAACGACAGCACCCTTCCAATCGGCATCATCTACCTTACGGGTGTCTTGGACACGGAAGTTTTGAGAAGACTTCTTTTCTTGGAGGTATTCTTCCAATGTCTTGGTGTTTTCCTCTGGTTCTTCGACACGAGTCTTAGCAGTTTCGGCGGCATCTGGATCATTGGGGTCCAATACGTCATGGGCACTATTATTATTATTATTATTATTATTATTTTAGTTTTAAAAAAAGTCAAACATTTTTTTTTTTATGTTACCCTTGGAATTCGGCAGTGCCAGCTTCACCCCAGCCTTTGTTCACCTTCTTTTCATTATCACTAAGTAAAAAAAGTAAGTAAAAAAAGTAGTATTATATAGATGAGAATGACTTACTGAATACCGGTACCACTGTGACGATCAAATTGACGTCCTCTACCATTGCCATCGGTGGGACGACCTGGTCTTTCGGGTCTAGTATTTTTGGGAGCAGTTTCGGTAGTTTCAGTGGGTTCACTGACATCCTTACGGTTACCGCGATCACGTCTTGAAGGAGGAGAGACTAAATGTGGAATATATATATTAATAAATGACGCGTTCTTTTTTTTTGTTATTATTATGTGGGGGGAAAGCTTACCTGCAGGTTGTCTGAATCCGCCTCGGCGAACTTCTTTTCTAGTGGGTGGTTGAGGGTCTCCCTTCTTTTCGATGGGCTTAACGTTACCGAGCTTATCGATTTCAGTTTCTTCTTCCCCTAAAAGGGCTCCAAAACGATTTTGTGTGAATGACATGATATATTTATCCTTTCTTTATATATTTTATATATACAAAAAAAAAACTATTTGACAAAAAAAGAGATATGTATACAAAAAAGAAGAAGAAAGAAGAACTAAAAAAAAAAAAATTAAATTTAATCAAGTAGGAAAAAAAAAAAACGCCATTTTTTTCCAAGGCTTTTTTGGTGTATATGCTAAATTATAACCAATAATTTACTAGCGGCATACAAAAAATAAAAATACAGAAAAAAAGTCGGGAATAAGAGAAACAGGGTACGCATGAAATTCCTGTTTCACTGTGAAAAAAAAAAAAACTTTTTGTGATAAACTAGAACTAAACAAATAACTTAACACCCTGATGGATTATACCCTAAAACATTCACACGCTCCCCACCCCCCTCACACCCCTATTATACTCGTCATGTGACTTTTGATGACGACAATTTCCGTGCCTTGCAGCCACGAAAGCACCCACATACATAAAAAAAATAACTGTCAGTTCATTTTACATAACAAACATACACTTTTTGAGAGTACAGCATTTAAATGTCAGTGACTGTCGTGTGGAGAACACATGATGAACACCTACCCCCATGCCTTTTACTTCTTTTTTTTTTAAAATTTATCTGTGAGAAAATATTATTGTGCCACGACTGACTTTGTGTGTCGCTGCGGATGGAATTAATTAAATTTCCCTCATCATCATTCCTCCCCCCAAAAAACCGCAGTAATAGGTTCACGAGCACCCTATCTGTCGTGTTTAAATATTGATTTTTTACGTCTTTTTCGCCAGTTGACACCGCATTTTGATGACTAACTAGTATCATCTTTTTAGGATTATTTCACCCTTACCAAGGCACACGAAATATGTGCAGTGGTTACCTCTCCTATGGAAAGCTCAGATACCTTGTGCTTAAAAAATGACCGCATATGTGTTCTCTTTTTGTTTCATCATAAAAAAGGTTTTGACCCGTGTGGTTTGATCACATATAAAAACATGATCTATCTAATGTGGTGGCGAATCACCGCTAGATACACTACATTTTGTAAATGACAGTCTACAGACACTCCCTGTCTATTTTGTTGTCACTCTGTGCCACGTTTATTTAAAATCCAAGATATATAAAGTCTATCCAAACACACTGAAATCATCCTCATCGGCTATGAGTTGATTTTTGGGTGTGATCTTACGGCGGTTTTTAAGTCTAATTTGATTATCATTGGCCATGGGAGGAATTCTTTTGACCTTGCAGCCTTCACACACCGGCACACATTTCCAGCACCGTTGGAAGGGATGACCACACGACCAACACTGGGCAGTGACGCACATGATGCGTTGACATTTTTCCACATTTTGATACAATGGGCCGTTCTCGTCGTCGGCCTGTTGTCTCCTTCTGTTATTTCCATTTTCTTGTGTCTGCAAACGTTGAATACGTTGCTCTAACAGTGTCAACTCTCTTTCCAGCTCATTTTCCTTTTGATCGGGTGGCAGATAACCACAAATTTTGATGTCTAATTCCACATGTGGGTGAATCGAGAGTTTATTCCAAGTCCTTTGATACGATGCCAGATGAGGTTCATAATCCATGTAGTAGTGATACAGACTGATTTTCTCAATAGGTAACGAGCCAGGTTTAACAGAATTGAATTTCAACATTTCCTGTAGTAGTTTAATATCCACTTCCAAGTTGGTGTTTTCTTTACGGTGAGTCGCACTCAGTTTTCGCAGTTGAGGGAATTTAATCAGCATAATGATGGGTGAGAAATCAGGATCATCATTGTCATCCATCACAACCTTATTTTTTTATGAGCGGGGTTAAAGGATGAGTACATCCAATACATATATAGCTAATCTTACCTCCTTCACATGTTGTCTTAAGCCATTAATATCGTCTAATTTTCGAAGAGAAGAATATATCGGGTGTAGATCGTTGTACAAATTCACATCAAATACGATTTTTCGCCAGACATATTTCGAGGACAAGTAAAAATATCTCATTTGTTGACAAGTGTCCATTAAATGAGTGTTCGAACACAAGTCCAAATGTTGACTAATGTTGGTAATGACATCGTAAGGAAGTCGAAGTAACCAAGGTCTATTATCTGTTTCCATTTATTAGCTATATAAAAAAAAGAGAAGAAGTTAGAGAAGAAAAAAAAGTATTCTTATTAAGCAAAAGTGTGACAGCATACTTACAAATCAATGCGGACTACGGAATCACTTGCCTTATCCTTTGCGAAATGCAAATTGGTGTCTCTCGTGATATTTAATAAAACAGTAGCCAAGTTAGTAACTATGGTAAGTCATCGTATCATGAACAGGATGGATTAGCTTAACTACCCCCTTCAATTGACAGCTTTTTCGGTATTAGGTTATTACCATCCAGTTTTCAGCAGATAGTAACAGTATGGAATTTCAATACTTATCAACATCCCCTCAATATTGCAGTGCTAATATTAGTATTTGTATACCCTTCAGCTAGGCTTTCAAAAAAAAAAAAAAAAAAAGAAAGGTCAACTTAAATTTGAGTGCATGGTGAATTAGCTCATTGGGTTTTAATTCTTTCCAATATTTCTATTGGCTAAATGTGTCCCTGCCCACACGCACGCACAACACACAAACACACAAAAAGCGACTTTTTTTTTTTGCTTCTTCACCTGCAAACCAGCTTTGTTTATTTTATATATAAAAAATAATACTAATGATTGCGATCACAAAACGTGGTCTCAGCCTACTGTTGTTGGGGTTATTACATGTGGTTGTACCTGCAACAGCCATTTATGAATCACAGGCTGGAACTTTTGATTGGTAAAATAATACAAAACGCGATGATAGGGTTTAGTTAACATTATCTTGTTTAGGCATCATACTTGGGTCGGTCATCCTCATGAAGCTGTTAAAATTGATAATGACCATATTGCTGTATATACCGAAAAGAACATTATTGCTTCCCTTAATACCCATTCGGGTGCAGTTGGTAAAAAAAAAAAAACTGTACATCACTTCTTATCATCATCATCTAATATTTTCGATAGAATGGAGACAAATACTTGAAAACGAATTGGATCATTTTGTAGCTACTGATGCCGGTAATTGTTCACTTCTTTATCACACTCTCTTTTTTTCGCAAACGATCTAACAAAGAGTATATTTTAAATAGGAATTTTAACCGTTTCTAGTTTACCTGAACGCGCTCAATTCTGGAATCAAACCAACGGTCAATTAATTTGGGAATACACCTTATCCGAATCCGAGATTTTCGGTGCAGCCAAACCCATCGCATGGAATAATGGAGAGTCTGTTGTATCTATCGGTAACACTAAACTTGTTAAATTGTCAAAGGAAGGAGAGGAGCTTTGGAGCTGGACTAGAGAATCTACGGGAGAGTAAGTTAGAAGGGATTGGAGTTTTTTGTTGTTGTTGTTATAAGGTACTCATACCGAATTTCTTTCTTTTTGAAAAAAATAATATAAATTAGCTCAATGAATGAAAGTATTCAAGTACTTCAAAGAGGAAACGATATCTACGTTGTTGTGGAACCTATCGAGGATTCAAAATCACCTGTTTTCGCTGTCAATATCCTTGATAGTGCCACGGGTGAAACCACCAAGACAGTTCAAATCCCTTGTCATACTAATTACGATCATGTCGCCTATGTTGGAAACTATATCTTTTGGACAGAAGCAAACTTACTTAAATGGTCTTCTATTGATAAGAAGGACGTCAAGAGCATTTTATTAAAGGTAAATTGCATGAAAACTATCCGGACGCATGAAAAAAGAAAAATTAATTTTTTTTTTTTTTGGGTGTCCTCTATATAGACTCTTGTAGATTCACTTCCAACTGCCGATAAATTTGATCCCACACAAATTAATATTCTAGGTGATAGTGATGATGCCAATACCAAATCCTTTATTCTCTCTGCTCAATTTGAAACAGATGAAGGATCCGAAGTTGCATCTGTTCTTGTCAATATTGAAGAAAAGGCTCTTGTCTTAAGTACGTATTTTGGTTCTCAAACTACTTTTGGCGGTCTTGATTTCTATGAATCTTCCTTGATTCGTTCCGTTCGATCTTCATCCAATGAATTCACTACCTCTATTTTACCCCAAGGAAAAGATATTACCATTCAACAAGATTTCTCGTTATCTGGTGAAATCAACTATGTAAAATTAATTAATCTTGAACCTTTGGCTCTTTTTGTCGTGACCGAAGGTTCTTCTGTCTTGTTCTATAACGAATCCGGTCTCGTCTGGTCTCGTGAAGAATCCTTGAGCAATATCGCCGCTACTGAATTTTTAGAACTTCCTGAACCTAAAATGTGGACCCAAATGGTAGATGAATTAGATGAAACCGTGAGTGAACAAGCAAATGAGAACCCTCTCTCTCGTTACATCCGTCGTCTTACAACCCATGTTCTTGAGACCCGCAAGTTCCCCGGTTGGATCATTTCTCATATCATTGGCATGTCTGGATCTACACTCAAGGATGAAGAAAATGCGGTTTCCACTTTGGAAGCTCAATCTTGTTGGTTGAACCAATCCAAGCCTGAAATGTTGTACCGTGATAATTTCGGTTTACGTAAACTTTTGATTTCTGCTACAAAGAGTGGAAAGATTGTTGCTCAAGATACTTCTCGTAATGGTAAGATTATCTGGAGTCGTTATGTGGATTCGTTCTCTTTCACCAATGTCTACGTCGTTCGTGCTGCTGCTGTCAAATTACCTCCTGTCATTGTTGCTATTGGTGATACCTACGATGATGTCGGAGGACAAGCAACTGGTTTCCTTCGTATCAATGCATTAACCGGTGAAAATTATGTCTCTACCTCACCCGAATCTCTTGAATTCTTTGAACCTGTGGTCGCTACTAATATCGGTACAGATAAAATCATGCGTTTACCTATTGAAGACCCCGAAGAACGTACCCACATGTTGGCTATTTATGAAGCCGGTAGTGGTCGCGTTTATATCTACCCTGATTCCTTTGCCGCCCGTGAAAAATTCGCTGCTGAATTCCTTCCCAACTTTTATTTCTCGCATCAAAACAAGCATGGTAATTTACAAGGCTTTAAAGTAGTCGAGGGCTACAGAGGCAGTCTCAAGGTCTTACCTGTGTGGGAATTCAAATTGCCTGAAGGTGAAAATGCACTTACAATGAGTAAACCTCAAGCAAATGAAAAGGTAGCATCCATTGGTCGTGCACTTGGTAACCGTAATGTGCTTTACAAGTATTTGAACCCTCACATGTTTGCTTTGATTACACGTGGATCTGCCAAGGGTGTCATGAAGGTGCGTATCATGGATTCTGTCAAGGGATCTATCTTGTACGAAACTGTACACACACAAGTGGATACAGAGACAAATGAAGTTCATGTCATTCAATCCGAGAATTGGTTTATCTATCATTTCTGGAGCAACAGTGCTCAACCCATGGGTTATCAAACTGTTGTCTTGGAACTTTTCGAAGGTGAAAATGAGAATGAGCGCGTCAAGAGGTATAATTTTTTATATTTATGATACACATGTGCATTATTATTGAACTTCTTTCTAGTTCCAACTTTTCTTCTTTTGATAATATTCAACCTCATGTTCTCTCTTCAGCGTTTGCTTTCCCTTACCCCGTTACCACAATGGGTGTCACTGAAACTAGAAATGGTATCTCTACCAAGAACATTCTTTGTAAGGATATCTCATTTTTCTCTTCAATTCAAAAATACTTATATCTACTTTTTCTTCTTTTATGTAGTCGGATTACCCACTCATCAAATTATGGGTGTGAACAAGCGTATGTTTGATCCTCGTCGTCCTAAAGAGAAGCCTAGCAAAGAGGATCAAGAAGAGATGTTAATTCCTTACGGTCCTATTCCCGATGAGAAACGTTTATTCTTGACCTATGGATTAGATGTTGCTGGTGTCAAGTCAATTATTTCCAGCCCGTCCTTGTTAGAATCCACAGCCCTTGTGTTTGCATCGGGTCTTGATACTTTCTTTACAAGATCGTCACCTAGTAAACAATTCGACGTGCTTTCAGAAGACTTTTCCAAGGCCCAATTGTTATTAACCATTACTGGTTTGATTGTTGGTATTTGGGTGACTGGTCCTATTGTCCGTAGAAAGCGTGTGAATGCTTTATGGAAATAAAGTAGTAGTAGTAGCAGAGAGAGAGAGAGAAAGAAGAAGAAAAAAAATGTAACAAGTAGCAGAAATTAATAAAACAATTATATACACATTACTATTATAAAAAGTGTTTCCTCTTGCCACCAGCCATGAGAGATAGCTCCTACACCGAAAAATATAGGAAATTGATCCAAGCTTGAGTCCTTTAGAAATCATGTGAAAAATTGTTGTTAGCCGTTACACAAAAAAATATTTTCGCATAAAAAATCAAAACTTTAATGCTCATTTTCTCGACATCCAATGAAGAAAGTAACTATGATACGCACACGGATGTGATGAGAATTTCACGGATTATTCAAAGGATAACACATACTTCCAGAAAGTAGTGAAGGAAAAATTAAGTTTGTAAAAGTAGCCTAGACAAAATCAACAAAATAAACAAAAGACAAAAAAATTTGGTATAAAAGGGAGACTGCTGCGAAAAAAAACGCCCTTTCTCTTTTTATCTTCTCATCAAGATCAGAACAGAGTTGTTAGCATGGCACCAACACAAGGAAGACACTCTCGTCTCTGTTCATTTCCGTTAAACCTAATCACTTCATTACAGATCGGGCAGTGTTCCAAAGGCCGTAGTAATCCCTAAAAAGATTACATTGAGGAGTCTGCTGGTTGTCAAAGTCGCTAGGCAATGGCCTTGGTCGTTGTCTGTATCGCTTCATTCGGATTTCAGTACAACAATCTGACTTGGGCTTGTCGCTCTTTGTTCCAGGAACTTCTTACTAAAACTAGTACTGCACCCGTTTGCTTGGTGGAGGGTGGATTTAGGAGCGTGTTACTAGACGGTGGATGGTCGTAGCCGTTTGAAGCCAGTCGATACGTTCTTAGTCATTGGAGTTGGTGTGGGTTGTTATCTTTGGTCGGGATCTAATGACAGTAGGAAGTTTAGTGCCCGAATGCATCTTGTAAGTGCTTTTGCCTTGTTTACGTCTACGCTAGAGATATTGCATTCTATAGGCAGCCATAGATTGGCATCCTGTTGGACAGCTACCTCATCTACACGGAATGTTAACCTTAAAGCCAATACTCGTCCAGGTGCGGTTGCTACGATTCTGCTGCCAGGGTAAAAAGCACCACCCCAACATGGTGTAGGGGGTATTTGGTCCTGGTGATTCTTATGTTGCGCATTGTGGGTAGGTGGCATGTAGGATTATCAGGTTCTGTATTGAAGATGGTTTATCGGAATTTACTTTTTGGGCCAGGATGTGCTTCCACCTTCTCGTGGTCTGGCCTGTTAACCAGCTATTTTATGCTGGGAACTAGGAGAAGCACTTAGAATAGTTTATATCATAAAAAATAAATAAATTATATTATTTTCTCTTTTTTCCTTTGACTTGACCATAATAATTAAGACTTATATGCTCATCATAAATTTTACAAAGTCTTTGTATAAAAGAGCAACGATCCTATTAAAGATATAATACAGTGCTTTTATCTTAATAATAGACTGGTATCTTTTTGGCACCAATAGTTTTTTTCTTCTTTGTTAATGTCAAGTAATCTTGTATACAAAAAGGAGCAATCACAGCCACCAAGAAAAGTTTAATCTTAATGGGGCTCAATAACGTGGATGCTTGTACTACAAGTTTAACTGTTGACTTAATTAAAATTAAGAACGTAACCAACTCAAGTAGTCTTTGTCGCAATCAGACAATGTTTTGCTTGCATGTAGGGGAAGATTGTTTGCTGTTCATCCGATGCTGTGAAGCAGGGCTTAATCAGATTTATGGGCTCATTTTGCGATCACGTATGCTTGCAACTGCTGTCAAACATAATTTTGGGAAGCTTGAAAATCTTGTAGATTACATGATATAACGGCATAGAAAATGCTGACAAATTATGTATTTTAATAACTTTGAATAGTGAAGAAAAGTGGAAACTGCCTATTGGAACGATTGTAGGAGATGTATTATATATATATTCAGTAAAAGATACGCTTTGGATTAAATACCCTTCTCTAAATGATATCCTCAGCACTCACACATTCTTTTATTATGTCTAGCGGACACACAGCATTTCGAAAGTCCAATAAAAATGATTAATAGCTTCAAAGTGAAAGGTGGGTAAAAGATATCCCTACATACGCCCGGTCGTCGTCTGTTGGGGGGAGTTTAAATAAATAATGACCATCATGCACACTTATGATTTTAAATGAATTGCATACGAAAATTACATATAGTCGTACAGTGCAATGTACACAGTCTTTGTCTGCTGAGTCAAGTTTATTTCTTTAATTCTTTTCTCACTCGCTTATCTCTGTTTTGAGAACATTTCGTAATGACAAAAGAATCTCGAGCAAATGAGGACAGTTCAGTTTATGCTTCCAGTATTTACAGCGATGATGGAAGTACCCTTTATGCATCAAGTATTATAGACGACGATACGGCTAGTACACTTTATGCCTCAAGTGTATATAGTACGCGGTTGAATGACAAACCCTCTTTGTCCGTAGACGATTTGCAGCAGCTGCGGATTGTTGTGGTGGGTTTAGCTGCACCTAAATTAAGTAAAGCAGTAGTCCATCATTGTTTATTGTCCGTTCGAACCCTTCTTCCCAAAACCAATCAAGATTTAAAGAATAATCAGTTTATAGAACAGTTCCGTATTCTTAAAAATTATGCTGACTTGACCAATTTGGATGCATCCGTAAGTAAAATAGGTTTTATCCCTTGGGGAAAAAAAGATAAGTAACAGATATGAGTAGCTGAGATTGCAAGGATATAGAGGTGAACCCTTGCTGAAAAAGTCTATTTTCTGTAGCCATGCACCTCAAATGCTGGATCAGCGAAAGGTAAAGCATTTTTAAAATAAAGGTGATTAATCAATAATAATTAAAATTTGTTTGCCCTCAGATTCTATTAGAGTTATATTTTCGAAAGTTGCTTGATTCTGATCAACATGTCCCTCTTTTGTTGAACTTTTTCGATACGGACAAGGAAATTGAAGAACGTGTAAGATAAAAAAGGGAAACGACAAAGGGTTTTTATAAATATTTATTTATATTATACATTTAGAAGCACCATAGTACAAAAGAAGGCTACCTTATGAGAAAAGAAGGTACCAAATTATTTGGTAAATGGGTTGCGCAGTACTTTGTTTTAGAAGATGTTACATTTAATTATTACAATCAAGTAAGTCTATATGATAAAGCACCCCTATAATTATTATTTTCCGCCATAATAATATAGCTAAACCAAATTAAAAAAAAGAAGGGAGGGAAGAGACTTGGTTCTATTCCATTAAAAGATATGAGTATTGGCAGCCAATCATCCAGATATCTGGAAACCACAGATTATCGTCATGGTCTGGTAATTAAGCAACTGCTGAACCGACACGGTGATGATGGTCACATGTTATGCGCTGTTAATGATGAGGACCGTGATCTGTGGGTCTCTGCTCTATCCGATGCCGCTAGAGCCTTGGATGCTCCACCAATCGTTGCCGTTCCAGCCTTTTTAAGCAAGCTGAGCAATAAAAAAAAGATTTGATTTTGTACACAAAATAAATTGACAAAGAGAGACATTATATTTATTGTTGTTATTTTTTAAAATCATACAAAAACTGTGAAGAAAAAGAAGGAGTGGGGGTAGCTATCCTTTTATGTATATAAAAAAAAAAGAGAGAGAAGGAGTAAAATTATTGTTGTTGTTGTTCTTGTTGTTTCTTTTCATCAGAGACGTATTCTTGACCAGCAACGTAAATAGGTTGATCCTTGACATCTTTAGTAACGGGAGGGGTAGCAACAGGATAAGGTGCGACGACAACTGCACCGGTGAATTCCTCATCTTGGCTCTTTTGTTGAACAGCCTTTGTGTAAGAATGAATGGCGAAGGCGAAATGAAGCTTCAACAGCATATTAATGGCCATGGCTAATGTGACGATCCATGCACTAGAAATATACACACTCTCACAAGTGCTCATATCGAATTCTTCATCCTTAGCTTCACTGACAATTTCGTTACAGATATCCGTGTGAAGACTGAAAAGCATAAATGCACTAGCAATAGAAAACATGGTGTGTAACCCTAAATCTGCCCAGTAAAAAGTAGAGAAGAAACGAAGGTGTTTAACGTTGTTCTATTTATAATAAATCCCTTGTGATTAATATATTGTTATTAAAAAAAAAAAGGTGTGCGTTTCTATTCTACCTTTAAAACACCAATGGCACCAGCTAAACAAGCAAATCCAGAAAGATAAGAATAAGCTGTTAAACCAAACATAGCACTGGTATCTGCTTCATCAAACTCGTCGGATAAAGCAGTTAAAGTCATGGCTCCGTAGAGATGAGTCACGGCTCCCAAAACTGCCAAGACTAATGTAGCTGTTCTATAATATTGTTAAGTCTTTTTCCTTCTACTTGTTGTCTATTACATGTTTTTAGTTACCGAAGGTTAATACAGAAACAACAATTATTAAGCATTTTTTTTGAATATATTATTATTTTTTGAACAAGAAAGAAAAAAAAAAAGAACCCGAAACTCCTCAATGAATTATTTATACCTCTTTTTCAAAGTCAGCTACTAGAAATCCCGTTAAGGATAGCATGACGTTTGGGGGATAAATAAATAGTTAAAAACGCCGAAGATAAAGAAAACCGGATAAAATGATGTATTTTTTTTTTATTATTATTTATGTGAAAACAATGTGTACAAAAAGATATGAAAGAGTATATATATATATATATGAAGAAAAGATATGTAATAGGATATAAAAATATGTAAGATAATATAAAAAAAAAAAAATAAGAATAAGGAGGGGTTTAACTAATCACCCCAGTATTCTTCATCGTCCACTTTTTCAGAGTTTATCCAATGTCCCGTAGAAGAATTAGCCTGCTGAAACTCATTATCGTCTAGGCTACTGGTGGAAGTACTGGATGGATTGTTATATCGTGTCTTGCTGGAGAATGAAACTGCCCACGCTGCAGGATCTGTTGTTTCTTGCGTTGACGAGGCCGACGATGTCACCACTGCTGCTGCGTTCGGATGAATACCACTACTGCTACCACTACTATGTTCAGAAACAAGACTGGCTCGATGTGTTGCATACATTGGACTGTTTTCTTCTAAATTTTCTGGATGTTCACCCACCACTTCTTCAGGAATCACATTCAATCCAACCATCGGAAACGAATTATTTGTCTCAAATTGGATCGAAGGTGGGTTTTGATAATGAAGCGTTTGCACCTCGAATTTTGCAAATAGCTTGGAGCATTCAAATGGTTCATAACTTTTATGTACAGGTAGCATTGTTAAACTGTTATTACTATATTGTTGCTGTTGCTGTTGCTGTTGTTGTTGTTGTTGTTGTACAAAGGTATGTTGATTATATCCTTTGTTTCTTAGTCGGGGGTCATAGATATCTTCTGTTGTTGTCTGACTAGTGTTTGTGGTGGTAGTGTTATGACTTGCCCCACTACCACCACCACCGCTACCGCTACCGCTACCACCAGCAGCACTTCCACCCCCACTTAGCATCCAGTTGATAAACTCACTGGTGGGCTCAAGGTCTATCAAATCACTACCAGTGACGCTTTTAGAACGTTCATGATCCGCCATAATATGACTTGCATTTGCGTTGGACTTGGCTGAATATTCATCGTAAGAGGTAGCTGTATTTGCTCGATGTCTTTTAGAAGCGGGCTGTTGTGGTATACTATAATCAAATTGGTGATACAATTGTTGTTGTGATGGTCTCTTTTGTTGGTTGCCATTATTATTATAATAATAATATTGCTGTTCATTTAAATTCAAATTATCTGGCGAAAATAATGCTCTCTTGTTGGTAGGTTGAATATACTTTTGGACATAGAAGTTAGAATTGACTGGCTGCTGTTGATGTTGCTGTTGTTGCTGTTGATGTTGTTGCTGTTGTTGCTGCTGTTGCTGCTGTTGCTGTTGGAATTGATTGTATTGATTATTCAATTGTAGTTGTTGCTTTTGAAGCAAGGCTTGCTGCTGCTGCTGCTGTAATTGGAATTGATGCTGACGTGAAGAGCCATTATATGACAGCTTTTCAAGTTGCTCCTTATCAATCACGCCTCTAGATGTGACAGCACCTCCTGTCATTGGCAGTAACATATGCTGGGCATCCATCATGATTAAATCATGTTGTGTTTGAAGGAAATCATGAGGTTCAGAGACACCCTGTGTGTTTGAACTGGTAGACGAGGTAGTCGATAATGAAGTGGTGGAAGGTGATACGGTTTGTAAATGATTGGTTGATGGATGAAATTTGCTATACAATATTCGAAACATTCCAAAATAAGGCGATGCCGTCCTTAGCATGTGGGTCAGGTTGATTCTCAAGCTGTCAATTTCTTTACTGTTTACCATGAATGGCAATTTCTTGTTGTTTAGAAAACATAGATTGATTTGAGATACGAGACAGACGGAGTAGATGATGGAGAGCGGGACGTACTTTAATACGGTGGCAGTTGAAGTATGGTATTCTAGGCAGATAACCTTATTCACTGTCGTGAGAATATTTTGAGAGGATAACGTACAGGTCTCAATGATGTCTATGGATGTGTTGGACAGCGGAGAAGTATCAATCACGGTGTTTATGGATAATGGCTGCTCTAGTTGACAAGTATACAGTTGGATGGTAAGAATATCTTGATATAATGAAATGATATGCTTAGGATTGAATTTAAAACCATCCTCATTAATAATGTCATTCAACATTTTTAAAGAGCCCTATTAGAATATGATTGTTATTCAACGCACGACAAATTAGGGGATTGTGTAATGATAAACAAACCTTGATGGAATCCATTGGAATAGACTGATTTTCCTTCTTCATTTTCAGTAGACTTTTTAGAAAACAAGTGTATGCATCCGTGATACGTAATGCCCATTTCTGTTCTTTGGACTTGTTGGGAAACATACAATCGTCATGTTTAAATTGAGATAATGTCTCAGAAGCAATGTGTGTCATGTCCAATTCGTGTACCGAATAAGGTTTTTGCAGATAAAAAGCCAGCCAAACATACCAAGCATCGAGTGATTTTAGTAAAGCAAATAAACTTTCTTTTTCGCCGCCACCACCATCATCATCGTCGTCGTCTTCATCGTCCTCACCACTGCCGCCGCCGCCGTTGCCGCTGTCTATACTAGTTAACGAACATTGTTGCACTAAATCTAGACCAATTTTAATCGTCATGAACGCTTGCTCTTCACAAATAGCGGTACACTGAAAATGAGTTAATAAAACAGAAGCTTGGGCAAGTATAATTGCATGCTTTCGTTTTTGTTTTTTAGATTCTTTTATGGTTGGATCAGCGGGGATGGATGGGAAGCAAGTGGCAATAAATCGTTTATGCGCTTCTCGATAAAAGGCATGCGAGTACCGATATAGACTGTTTGTAAAGTTTTCATTCATATTCGGTAATGATTGATGGGCGGACTGAAACGTGATGGCTAAAATACAATAAATGATGATCGAATACAATGGTAATGAAGATTCGTCTACAAAAGAAATATCCTGTGTGGGTTGTGCGGTGGGACATTGCTGCATGAATGAAAGCATGGAAACTGAACTAAGTGCATAGACCAGTAATTGAGGGTCGATAAAGGAGCCGTAAAGTAAATTATGAGTGATAAAGACTCGAAATGTTTCTTTTACTAGTTCGGTGGATTCATGTTCTGGAGCATCACGCATGTAAGTATTATTAGAAACAGATCTGCTTTCGCAAAATTTGTTTAAACATGCAATAAAAGATTTCCAAATAGATTGAGGTTGAGAGGTTGTATTGAAAAAATCTAACAGTAAAGGAGATGTTGATGTTCCATATCTTTGTTTTGGTGATTGCTGTCGAAGAGTTTCATATAATTCATTTGTAAACGTTATTTTATTCAGACATGGAACGTTCATCTTTTGTGGCACTGCTGCTGCTGCTGTTACGGTGACTAGCGGTGATGCTCGTGGTGGAGGTGATAGTGTTCCAGAAGAAGACGCTGAAGAATTGCATGATGGACGTTTTGTCTTTTTGGCTACACTGTTAGAACGCGATCGGGCTGGTTTATCGTTGTATATACATTTAATTTTGTTGGTTTCGCATCGTTGACAGGGATTATCTATGTGACTTTTTCGTTCAATACTTATATCTTTAACAGTCTTTAGTAACTTACGGCCATCGCAACGCATCTTCTTTCCACGACATGCTTCACATGCCTTTGAAACTTTATGTCGTTTTAACGGAAAGTCATTGGTTGAACAGGAATGCCATCTCAATGCACCAGTCATGGAGGTAATTGTATTTTTTTTTGTTTAGGAAAGGAAAATAAGGGAGAAAGAAGAAGAAGCAGAAAAAAAAAGAGGGGAAAATAACAAAAAAAGGTCGTATGGGATAAGCGTGTTTGAACATAATTATTTGTTTACTTGTGCACAAGAAAAAAAAAAAAAAAAATAGGTTTTTATCCCCTTCTGATGAGATCACAATAGCTATATTTTTGTCAGCATTGTTACAGAGTTTTAAAATTTGTTATTTCCATCAATTAGGCGGATGGCATAGTCCCTTATTTGCCAGTTCTATTGTATTGCTTAATATAAATAACGGGAATCGGATTATTCGGGTAGTTCAGCGTAGGACAAAAATCATAATACATTTAACATCACAAATCGTTTAGTGTTTAAATAATAATAACAGAATACACAAAGGGCAATGGAAGTTATTAGTATCTTTAATTTTCACAATTTCATTATCATGGATTACGCATTACCCAGAGAAACTGCGCAATAAAAATAGAGGGCATCAAAAAAGAACATCATCCGAGCCGACCGGTCCTCAATCATATGGGTAATACAAGTGTGTCACACGGCTTTTCCATTGATTGTAAGTGGTTTAATAAATAAATAAATTCTGAGAATGGGGGACAGCTAAAAAAAAAAAATCTAGCTATGGTTAAATGAGAAAAAAGTATACATAATTAACAAATATCAAAATTTTCGCCTATTGTTCCAATAAGGATACACAAGCATATTCTAGTTTAATACACACACACACACATACTCTTTTTTTGGTGTGCCACATGACAAGCTGTCATTTTTTTAAAAATAGTTTGCAATCAAATCGATTCGATGTTACATTCCACCCCTCCCCTCTCCTCTTTATAGTGCGTTTTGTCTGTGTTTCAGGCCATCTTTCCATCCTCAGCCAAAAAAAAAAATAAGGTAAGAGAAAAAAAAAAAAACCAGTCCATGATTGGACACACTCACACGATGAAAACTTTAATTTACACCATCATGTTATTTTTAATGAGGTAAAAGAAAAAGGGCCGAATTTAAATATCATCTAATGTTATTTTGTAAAAGCGCTGGTGTAATCCATACTAGTACCACAATGACCCTTTTAGCTGTTAAAAATATGAATGATCCCCTTTTTACGCTTAGCTCATGAAGCGACATGAGTAAGAATTACAAGGATATGGTATAATAAAAAGGGCTAGAACAATAACTCATCCCTACAAACAATAAGCCTCCAATAGGCGACGATCTCTTATTATAGCTTAAATGCTTTATTTTTATTTTATTTTTTACATATGTCAATCACAAACAGTCTTTAATCGGTACTAGAGTATTTTGTCTTGGGTGTAATCTTTTGGAATTTAGCTTTCAGTGTATCATTAGAGTTTTTGATGACACGGAGACCAAACCTATTTCCGCTATTATAGTACCGTTGCCAGATACTAGATACCATCCAGAGCCCCACCACCGCGGCAAGCATGCCGTACACCTTTGTATTGATCGTATAATGAGCGTAAAATCTCGAAGCTTCATCCATTGGCTTGGCTGTCGAAGCGTCTATATAATCATGATTCCCGGTCAAATGTCTATTGAAGTCCAAAATGTTTTTGAAACCGATCAAGAATCCAGTCTTTACAAACAAATCCAACCCAAATATAAATGCGTATGCACCAATTAAAGATGTAGACAGAATGACAGTAGCAAACTCAACAAGCACAAACCCTAAAATAAATATAAACCCTAATGCTAATCCAATGATATTTCGTGCAAGGATGTCTTGCAAAATAAAATCTTCTCGCCATGTCCAGATATACAAAGATAATAAGTAGCCTGCTGCACCGCAAAGTAAGTACATGGTTACTTTCCACCAAAATAAGGATATACCCGCCAGCAGTAGTCCTCCACCAATGCAGCATGCAAGATAGAAAGTAGAAGGCATTGGGTATCCTAGCGGAGGTTCCGCAGCATGTAAACAAACCCAGGTAACACTTGCTATTAAAAACCTTTTTTGTAAGCTACTAAATAGGTACATAAAAAACGAGGTATGGCAACTTACATCCCAATAATAGACCGGTAATTGCCATGGTGACTATAAAAAAGGGGAACCCCATCAACATCATAAATAGTCCCAGCGTCATTAATAAAGCACCTGCTGCAACAATTTGGGGTTCATACTTGGGAGGAGCTATATTAAACAAGGTTGATTAAAATTTTTCTTTGTTGTTGTGTTACTAATGTATTTAACTTACGAGTTTTGTAAATACACACGACATGACAAGGACCATCCTTACATGTGTGACCACAGGGACTGTCACTGCATGAGTGCTCACAGGAATTTTCACATGTATGGCAATGTTCTCTAGAAGCAGTGTCGTTTTTAGAAGGAATAGTAGGTTGGGCACTGGGAACATGAGTAGCCGTGACCTTATCTGTCACTGTTACTGCTATAATGGTTGTTGATGTATGCGTAGGTTCTGGTTTATGAATAATTTGAGTGCTTGTCTTTTTTGGCTTATCCTCGTCACAGTCTCCTCTCTTTGTGTGCGCGGCAAAGATTGCCGTGATGTGTATCAAGACACACAAGAATAATAACCATGTAGGTTTAAGCATTATTATCTGTGAAAAAAAAGATGTGTGGGCAAAGAATAATAAACTTCCATTTTCTTCATCCCACCTTAAATATATATACAACGAGAAAAAAAAAATAGCATTCTAAATGTAGTTTGTTAACAAAACATTATAATAAAGAAAATATTCAGAGACAATCAAAGATTGTATTGGTTTGACCATCCTCTTTGGATGAGGAAAAAAAATTTAAGGGGGTGGTTTGACGGATCTTGAATCATTTAGAATATTCAAAAACGAAGAGGCAACTATTTTTGGTAGGATCGTCAAAAGAAGTTACTAAACTTATTTTCAATAACATATTATTGCTATCCAAATTAGAACAAAAAAAATGCACGGTGGATATCCTTTTGTTTAAAGAAGAACGCTGTATTGTTATTGTTACAAAAAAAAAAAAAAAGCTTAATAATAAAAAAACAGCGTGCAAAATCAATCCCAAATAGAAATTTGCCCCCCTTTTTATTCTATATCGATAATTATGTCAACAAAACGTCATGCTGTCCTAATATGTAGGTTAAAGTATCTAACAAGAGCATAGTGGGTTTCTATAGCAGCTCCCATCTTCTTTTTTTTTGTAGAATAGTATGAAATTAAATAGACTTGATAGTTGATCACACGTGAGTAATCGTTTACTTTTTTTTCTTCTTCTGACTATCTATTTACTTCCAACAGTTCTATAACAAAGAAATTTATCAGGCTACTAAAGAAACTTAGTACACAAAATAGTAAAGATGTGCATCATTTAAGATAGAATTCAAACTTCTCTGTGATATAGAAATGACATGTAACTCTCCCCTGTTGTCTATACAAGATGACAGACAGGAGACAGGAGCTCCCTCCCCCCCCCCTTTTGTTCAGTGACTACATGTTGCAATTTACCGACAACAAATTGTATCGATCAAAGTCTCATGTCTATGATTATACCTTGCGTTCAAGTGCTGCATCGCATCTATTAGTTTCGTTTCCTGCTGTTTCAAGTAATTTTAGGTAAAATAATCACGAGCTTTGCGTTTGAGGAATTCGTGGACCTAAACAGTCAGCTAACGATACAAACTTTGTTAGGCCTTCACGCATCAAAAGATAAAAATTCGTAGTTGACGGGCTTTAAGTCTTTCCTGATGTGTACGCCTATCGTATCTAATATCAAGACTCACTCTCCCTATTAAATATCTAAGCTGGGATGTAATCTGTTAAGACAAAGTAGTTTAATACTAGTCCATATGAGAAACAGAACTATAAAATACGCATATTTGCCTAGAGACGCGTATTAGCAATTATCAGAGACCTTACATGCGTACTTCAGTCATTTTTTGTTTTGTTTTGTTAGATAATCTGATTGAATAAATAGTCTTACCGAAAGTTATAAGAATAACAGCTGAAAATCCACATGCTGCTACACTGTTTGACATTTTGAGACCAATTTGCATTACACTTTTTTCAAGAGCCGCCTATTTATAAACCAGGCTAATTTCGTGTATGGGGTGCACAGTGATTTTTTTTTCCCGTTATAATATAAATATGTCAAGCAAAGAAGATATCAAAGTCGAGTTAGTAAGTTATAAGCCTACTGATGAAGAGAAACTCGTCATTCGTTCTGCCTTGTTTAACTTCATAACCTTGGGTAAGTTTTGTTGTCACATTTGACAATTGAATACTGATTTTTTTTTTTTTTTTTAATGTATAAAACAGCAACTGTGGGTGCTGCTTCATTAGGAATGTCTGCTCGTCTTTGGGGTAACGCATGAAACATAAATACACCATTCATTCGTACTGACACTTTTTTTTTAATACGTGAAGCTAAGTCAAGAACAACACCTTTAAAACCTAGAACTGCCATCCCAACCATCTGTAAGTCTTGACACCTTACACTAAGAAAATAAGAAGAATATACTGAATGATTGCTATTATTTTCAAGTGGGAACTTTTGCCGGTTTAGCATTTGGCGGTGCACTTGGTATGGATAGAGGCATGCATCGACTTCGCGAATCACTTCCCAGAGACTCTCACCTGTTGACGATTATTCATGAAAACGATAAATTAAAGCAGCAGCGACAAGAAACCTTATTCAGTGGACCAATCGATGAGGAGTCTACTGATAGTGTGCAAGATTTGATTACTTTAGACGAGTCTCTTCCACAACAGCAATTAGAAATGGATGAACCACAATTATTATTAGGCGATGGAAAAGAATAAACAAAACCACCGAAAGAAAAAAAAATAAGAAGAGTGGTGTGTATGTGTGTGTATGTGTGTGTGTGTGTGATTTTTTATTATTATTAAGTAGATACTTCAAATTGGCCACTTGATGAAGGAGGGGAATCTAATAGATGAGGTGGGGAAGGACATGTATGTTGAATAGGAGGTACTGGTTGAGTATGTAACAAATTAGCGACGGATTTTGGTCTCGAAAGTCTTTTTGCTTGCTGCTGCTGCTGCTGAAGTATCATATTGGGTATATCTGTGCTACTACCGTGAATAGTGGCAGTCAAATTGTTGAAGGTATCACTCAACTGTGCAGGTGTAATATTCTGTCCAATTGCACCAGTCAACCATCCACAGGCGATCCGGAACACTTTGGATGAGCCTTCGATTTTGGAGATTTTAATAGCTGTAATTCGATTTTGAATGGAGTCTTTTGACAAGGATATGATTTCAATAGCAAAAATTGCAACACCGGATTTTTTATCCTCTCCGTCTTGATTTTCATTTTCATTATTATTATTCGTATTTGTTGTTTGTGAGTTTTGTGACGATTGAGATGAACCCGGTCTGTTTAAGGTAGGAAAAGGTGGATATCTCACGGATCGACTATCTTGTACAACGAGCGTAGATGAGTGGTATGGGAATATGCTGGATAGAACATTACTTGTCATTCGTTTGAATTTACTAAAGCGGCTGCTTCCGAAATAAGAGGATCGATTCATATCTCCTGCGCTACTACGACTAAATGATTGTTGGCTACCTGTGCTACCTTCCCTGTTTTGTCCGGATAAGGATTGATTGGATGAAGCAATCTTACTATCTCTTCTCCTCAGCTTATAAAACGATCGAGGCTTTTCATTGATGTAATCGCTCAATGCCATGACACATATTAAGTGATCGTTTTTATCGCGGTGATAGGTTATACCCATAATATCACAAATACCTCGAATGATGAGCATCATTGTAAATTCGTCTTGTTGCGTGTGTTGCAAAGAGAAGGAAGATTCGGCTATACCAGTGAGTCGCATGGCTGTTTGTGGTGTCAATTGGAAAGTGTAATAGTGAATTTGATCTTTGGTGACTCTTTGATAGAGTTGAGATAAACTCATATTGGACGTTGATTTTCTTACAATTGTTTTTGTGGGAGTAGGGGATGCGTTACCAGAAGATGATGTATTACTGATATCTGTAGAAGAGCCATCATTACGAAGATGAAGAGAGTTTGCAGAAGTATTTCCATTGACGCTCACATTTTCTGGTTGTTTCAATTTTCGAAGCAAATGACGGATAGGCGATTTTCCAGCATTTTGTGTTGATGATAATTGAATTTGATGAGAGATTTCGTTAATTTTTTGGAAGAGCAAATGACGTTGCGTTTCACTATTGGTATATTTGTCTTCAGGTTTTGCCGAATGTGGTACAGCGCTTGTGAAATAAATAGAGGGATTTTTCGGATGGCATATAATTGTTCTTTTTATAAATTTCTTGCTTCTCTTTTCGTCTTCCATGTCTCTCATGTGCTGAAACTTTAATCTCTCCTTTTCCTTTTTTAGTCGAGCTAATTCATCTTCCTTGCTTAAAATCACAGGCGGTAATGTGCTTGTACTATGTTGTAGTTTATTGTAACTGAAAATATCTGGTAACGTTCCATTGCCTGTGAGCCACGGGTCGTCTTTCAATGCTAAATGTACTCGGGTTCTTTTGGTTTTATCGATCGACATGCATTTCTTTATTGTGTTGTTAAGGCCTGTACTGAGGTAGCTGGGTATAACATACTGTCCTGCTGTCACGTCTTTTCTTAGATCTCCCACAGCTATAATTAAATATTAATGTCTAGATGATTGGTCATATTATTTTCGTATTTACTATTTGCACGGGAAAAAGGTTCTTCGCCCACAGTCATTCTGTATAACGAAACACCCAGACACCAGCAATCCACCTCGGGTCCAGTATATCCTTGTCCATTGATTATTTCAGGGCTGTAATAAAGCATGGATCCTGCATGGTGATAAAATACCGAATTATCAATATTTATACTCCTTTTCACATATCACAACAAATAATTACCGCATATAGTCTTTAATCTTCTTCTGCCAAACCTGTTTCCAAGACCAAAATCAGCTATTTTCACTTGAAAGTCCTTTGTTAAGAGGATGTTTGGTGCCTAAAATATATATATATATATAAATAAATAAAAGATGGCGATTATATGTTATTTCTACAGGCATATATTACCTTTAAATCACGATGAACTACCCATTTGGAATGACAGTAATCCATTGCAGCTGCCATTTGACGGAATATATCTCTTGCCTCTGCTTCATTTATCCTACCACCTTTTTGCTGTAGATACTCATCTAAATTGAAACCTTCGACATATTCCATAACGAGGTATAAAGAGTCTGTTGTTTCATATGTCTCGTATAATCTAACAATGTTGGGATGCTCCAATACTTCCATTAATGATATTTCCCGGACTAATCTCGACATGACTCTATAATCATGTACTCTTTTGTCAATTATCTAGAAGAAGAAAAAACTTTTAATTATTACATGAACTCCTATTTTTTTTCCCCCGCTTTTTTTATTATTATTATAAAAGTACCTTTACAGCCACCTGTTTTCTTGTCAAACAGTGGTATGATAACATGACTTTACTAAATTTACCTTGGCCTACTTGACGGATAAAAGTGTAATCGCCAATGCCATTCAAATAGGTATCAGGACTGGGAGGGTATTGCTTTGCTGGTGGTTTTCGGAGTTTCTTTGGGTTCTTGTCTGCTAATGATGGATCAATTGCTACTGTTGCTGCTACAGAGGCCTCTGTGGGACTATTCTCATAGCCTAGTCCATTATCTACAGCAGGCAATTCTCGTTGGTTTGAGTTTCTTCTCCATTTACGAAACTGATCGGCAACGTTGAATCCCATTTCTTTTTTTTTTAAGAAAAATGTCCAACAATTAGATGGGGTATAACAGCAGGTATATTTATTATTAAAAAGAAGAAGAGGGAAAGAAGAAAAGAGAGAAGAAGAAGAAGAAGAAAAAGAGAGGGGGACAAAAATAAAATGTGTTATCTTAAGCCTCAGATTTTTTTTTTTTTTTTTGTACACCTCTTTTTTTTTTTCTTTTACCCTTTGTGCCTTAGTACAGTGTGTGTGCAGTGGACAATCAATACGGTCTATTTCTGGTGAAAAACCATGCTTTTTCACCCAAATTTAATACTTGTGATAGTTACTCCGACCGAGGTTTATTTTTTTTTATTATTATTTATCCATAAAGAAACCGTTTTTAGTAAGAACAGATTCCAAGTGCTTTGGTACAGTATTCGATAGTTCTTCATCTCGTCTCTTATCCATCTTTTTAGATGTAAGACCTCCGGCGCTTTTCAAGTATTCCGCAATCTTTTTATGTCCAGCTGATTTAGCCATATCGTACGGCGTGCTCACTTTTTTGCTGACATATGAGTTCACATCACATCCGAATCGCTCTATCAATAGAGTAACTACCTCAAACCTTCCACTTCGCGTTGCCCAATGTAATGGGGATTCCCCTCTACGATCTTTTTCATTGGCTGGCACCTGACACACTTCAATCACAAACGCAACAAGTTCTGAATATCCTGACATACAAGCGTAATGTAATGTGTTTGCTCCTACAAGCAAAAAAAAAAAAGATGATAGCCTCTAATTAGCCTCCATTTGTTGTGTACGCGTGAGATAGGAAAGGTTACTTACCAATGACATCAGTCTCCAGATTTAATACACCCTGTGTCATGTTCACAATGTATTCTACAACCGCTGCATGACCAAATTCTGCTGCAACATGAAGTGCTGTCTTCTTTCTAGCTCCACCTCCCCGAGCGGACATCAAATCGCCACCTGCCAAAACAAGCTTTTCGAGGCCTGCTAACCAACCAATGCTTGCTGCTAAATAGCATGGTGACACCTAAAATTATATAAGATTAAAAATTTCCCTTTCTCCTTTCTCTTGCCCTTTCTAGTCTTAGTTTTGTGTACCTTTTCCTCGTCGATCTGACTCATCGTAACAGCATTTGCATTTGCTCCTTGATGTAAAAGCAAATCCAGTGAATCAGGTGCTTTCGTCACAATTAAGGCATGAATCATTCCAAATCCGTACTTGACAGTATTTGCTGAAGGTGATTGTTTGGCAGTATTTGGTGATCCACCTCGACGCAAGAAATTACTACGTCATGTTAACCTTTTTTTTCTTTCTTTCTTTTTTTTTTTGTTACTCCTATTTATTGTACCTTATGATTTTTTCAACTGTCACATCACTCCCTTGACCTTTTGCTATAGTATCCCAAAGGGCATCTGATCCACCAAACGTTAATGGATCTGTTCTCCTTTGTTGAATTATAGAACTTCCTGTAGCAGATATGCTTGAACGTGTGGGTGACATGGGAAGTGGCACAGACATGATGGAGGAGGCGCCAGATACCATGGATGGTGCCATACTAGGTGTTGAATAAGAAGATACGATGGATGGATTACGAACGAATTGGTATGATGGAGACGAATTATTCTGGTGAAGGTGATGATTCATGGCTCCTAATTTCTTGTCGTCATACGTGCGATGATGACCAGAATATATACTGGTAGCATCCGTACCACTTGAAAACGAACTGTATATACTAGTTCCCGCATTTGAATCCTTCCTTGTTCTTCTGCTCGAAGGAACTTCTGAAATAACGGAGGCAGCTGAAGAAGAAGAAGGCCAAAACTGTGATGAGTTATAAACTGAGTTTGCTGTAGATTCAGAAACCGAAGTGGGTGACAACGGTTGCCTATTCTCTTCTCGGCAATCAATTTGTTTTAGCTTGAGTGCATCATATTTCTTTTTAAAAAACTGCATTTCCCGAACCGCTTTTTCGTATCTTCGCTGATTATCATTAATGATTACTTTGAGTTCGTCATTTTCGTTTTCGAGTAATTCAGAGCGTTGTTCGAGCATCGTCACTAGCCGTTGTTGGTCAACAAGCATGATTTTAAATTCATGTTGCATCATGGAGCTTAGTTTCTTATTGTCGACCTGTCGTAATAAGTGTTCTAATCGGTCCTTTGAATTCATTGGTTTGTCATAATGTATGGCTTCTTCCTCTTTCAGTGAACTTTTACTGAAATCAAGGCTTAGACTATCAGCTACTGTGCTACTGTTTTTAGATGAATTGGAGGAAAATGAGCTTTTAAAAGAGAGAAAGGAGGCCATTTTGTATTACTGTTGTTATTCAGATTATTATATATACATGTACAATACAGAAGAAAGAAAAAAAAAGAAGAAGAAAAAAAAAAGTTTGCTTCTGGGAAAAGAAATAGAAAAAAAAGACAACTGGGAAGGAGGTTAAATACGGTAACGCAAAAAAAGAAAAAGGCGAAAATAGAACGTGTCACCTCTGTACTAACAATAACTCTTTTTTTTTCTTTCTTGGAGAAAGAATGAAGAAAAGAGGTTACATATGTTTCTTCCACTCAAGTTTTAATTTAATAAAATACCTGCCAAAGTTCATATTAGCGATAGTCTTTCAATTATGAAGTGAGTCCAAGTATTCCAGATCCATCAGATAATTATCTGCGGGTATAAGAATAGACTTTACCGGGAAAAACTGAGCCAATTTTGGGCGCCTTATTATTTTTAAACTTTTGCTCATAACCCTGGTTACATGCATGCAAAGTCAATAGAGTGAATGCCATTTATTGGTTCGATTGTCTAAAAGCTGAAATCCTTGTGAAGAACTCTTCATACAACCAAAACTTAAAAAGTGATCACTCCCTTTTTCTTAAAAAGATAAGAATTCATAATGATAATCACGCATTCATAGTATGCAATGATTGTGTTTCACAATTAAAAAGTATGTATGAATATCACACAGTTACTTTCGCATATGCCCTGTTGGATAATACTGGGTAAATTAATATTTAGCGAATATGTCCATTTGAGATCATTGTCTTACAGAATCTCTCCTTACTCTCTTTGAATACAGATTTCAGTAAACACCTATAAAAAGGATTACCGCCCTGAATTATCTTTCAAATTACGACAATCGCAGTAACTTTTTTTTTTTCACCGTTATTAAAAGAAAAAGCTTATGGGAAAAAAGATCAACAAATGAATCAGGTGTAACCCGAATTTGTCCCAACAAAGTCGTAATTGCATTGTGCTTTATTCTTTATTTCTGATCTATTCCGTCTCCTATATTTGCAGTAAAAAAAAATATATATATATACCCCCGTCCTCCTGAAACTGTTTCTATAGTTTCTATTTACTGACATTAAAGATTTAATAGGCCTGTACTTGGGGTAGGGACAACTGAGGAGAGACAGGAAATGAAAACGCATTTAATTCGTGTATTACTGTACAATATTCCCATAGTTGGCAAAACACAAGCATAGATTGCTTTACGGTTACAATTTTCCATTACCTAACTGGCATCGAATTCCTTAAAACAATGAGGCTTAAATAACTCAAAAAGTATGTGTCTGCTCTAATGGATCCAAATCCATTTTTAAATCGTCCCAGTGTTCTATTTTTCATTTTAGCATTCATTTTACTAGTATACATCGGAGAGACATTTAGAAGAGAATGGAAAGGGTGGATTTAATTTCTTCAAGACACTACTCATCACATTATTTCTTTTGTGAAAAAAAATAGATGTTAAGGGGGCAGAGAGTATTATCCACATCGGAAAATGGGCCGCGAATAAAGTGTGTGATTTTACAAAGAAGGACAATAGGATGTATGTTAATTCTTAACCCAT